TTGAAGTAGTTCTGCTGCAGCATCATAATATGTTTGAAATGCCTTCCTGAAGAATTTCTTATGCTCTGTTGTGATATTAAGGCCCTTAAAAAACTGTGGCAAAATGTCAGGATAGGCACTATAGAATAGAAGGTAGCAAGTACTCTTGAAACAGATTAAACACCAATCAAATGAATAAATAAATAAACATATTCACACTAATATATGGGATTCTCGTCAACATGTAGCCACCAAATAAGAAGTAACATCACATGGTAATTACAAAAGATCACAACCCGTGCCTATATGATGCCACAAAAATCAGTTTAATGGAAAGCCATACAAGGCAAGCAGAAACATAGTAAAATGTGAAAGATGTCCTAAACAATGAAACAAACCAAAGAGATTCATACCTCTTCGTGAATTTCTGGCCCAGAGAGTGGAAGGTTAATAAACATTCTTCCCTGCCGAGCAAAACTAGCAAGAAGAGTCAAATTTGTTTGAGTAGTATCCCGATCCTTTAAGTGTTCTCCACTGGTAAGATCCTTAATGATATTCACAAAAATACCACCATCTTCTATGACTCCAACAAAGAAAAGTTCCAAAAGGAGTTTCAAAGTGCTTCGCTTCTTCATGGCCCTCAGGTTCTTGTCCACGTCTAAGTCATCCCCAGACTTTCCAGGAAAGAAGATTTTCAAAAGACCTTGAAGTAGGCTTGGGGAGAAGTCTTTGTATCTTTGATGAAGCAGAGAGCAGATCTTTGACAAAAAGATGTGTTAGAAAAGTGTAAAACACATTGTGTTACCCATAAATACTGCATTCAATAATGTCACTTATGCCATATAAAATAGACAGAAGAAGCTTGCAGGTATGCATACTGGCTCAAAAGCCACCAACATTACATACTAGCTGAAAATTGTCACCATTTTTTTTTTCCAGTAGAGACCTATATGATAAAGCATCCCACTAGGGTTTTTTTCCAGGGCAAAAATATCACACTAGTTAACATCAGCAAACCATCAACTGTATCCAGAATTTGTTCTAAATATTAGAATAGGAAAAACACCAAATACCCAGAGATATCTAAATGGATGCATATGAGACAACAGAATGAGAAGCAGGAACCTTGAAAACCAATACAAATAACTGCCTCAAATTGTTGAAGTTGTGAGGCAGCATATCTCCTATTCAAAGACCAAAAAACTAGACACAACAAAGTGACAAGATAGCTCAGCATCCATTACAGCAAAAATAGTACCAAGCATTTGACTATCATACAGCATGTCATTTCAGCAAGTGCCATCGTCTATTCTTGAATACGAAAGAAGATCCAGATCAGCATTTTGGAACCCACAAATACAAAAGTTCATAACTTGAAGTTTATGTAAGTCTAGAAATGTAAGATCTGGAAATAATCATATTGTTTCTCAAGCCAACTCACAGTGCAATAGCATTAGCTAATCATTCACCATAGAAAATCCAGACTAATATGTTGTAAGTAGAATCATGGATAAATAACCCAAAGAACTTTATTAACTAAAACTACTAATTAAATACAGGAAAAGGGGAAAAACAAAGATAAGTGCTTTATAAATTTCAACTCAAATCCATAACAGCAACCTGAACTGCTGCTTGTATGTCTGATGATCTAAGTTTAGCATCACAAATAGCAGTAACAGCTTCACTGACAAATTTGCTTAGGTTGACACCTCTCAAGTCATCCATCAGCCCTTCCCGCTGCTCTTCATTAATCTGCTTCAGTTTTTTAATAACCGCTGTGTTGCGCTTAATGCTAGAATCCAGTGTCCTAAGAAATCCTGTGTCTGGAATTTAGAACAAACTGTCTTATTTTCCAGTTCATGCAGCAATCATACATGTTAACTAGCTTTCAATATGGTTTTTCTTTTGTTAGCCTTGTGATTATTTTGAAACAAAATATAAAAGAGATGACAAAATAAACATGTCAGCACAGAAAAACTTAAAAGATAAAGGCACGAAAAAGTATCAATACTTCATAGATTATTAGATATGTAATGTAGAGTATGACTTTGGATTGGACTAAGCAGCTAAAAAAAATCCATGTAGAGGACCTCAAGTACTTCGAAAAAGGAATATGTTGTCAGCCCCAATTATTTCTAGGATCAAGTCTTAGTATAATTTAGATGCAGCAAAGGAAAACCTTGGAAAAAGTACCAGTCATCATTTCTCTATTTGCGTTTTGTCATTAGGCATGATGCTTTTGCAAGTTTACACAACTTTCTTTCCATATACGAAGGTTTTCACTCATTTAATAAATTAAAAATTAGTTAATCATTCATTTGCATACAAAATACAAGAATACTGTTATCATCTGACCAGGCCTCTCAGGGTTCAAATTGCTTTGACGAAGAGCCATCTTTGCCTCAATTGATTTCTTGATTTCCTCAAGCCGAGCAGCAGCTTCCTGCAAAAAAGAAGCAATAAATACCCTACCAAAATCACTTCTAAAAGACATACAAGTATCCAAGAATCTTACAAGCAACCAAACTGTAAACTTCATTTTCAACTTTTCATGTACTATATTATTTTAACAAGTGTTCTGCCTTCACTCTACTGAGAAACAATATAATATACTTATCAAGTACAATAGGATCTCAAACCACAACTTATAGGCCAAGTCTAAGAAACTCCTCTTATTTCAAATTAAGTTTGTGACTTATTAGTTGCCCACAAAGTTCCATCTCATACATGCTCCAAGATTCGGCAACAAAAGAACAATGAACAAATAACTAAGGATTTCTAAAAGTGACAGATGCCAGTCACATACCTCATCATCTTGCTTCCCATGAGGTTCACCCCCAGCACGGGATTCGTCCTCATGGTGATCCATCTCCCTACTTGTACTGACTGACAGAAACCTGCATAACAGGGCATTGCATGGTTAATTAACACCCAAGAAAAAGACCATATATGGTGAAGAACTTATTATTATTATTTTTTTTTAACCTTGAAAACCTAACAGAACTGCAATAAAATAAATCCAGATCACCAAATTGCTTTATTTAACTTCCAAACCACCGTAATCTCATCGGTGCAAAATTTCACTTCAGTTTCACCACAGAAGCTACGAATATTTGAGAAGAAGAACCACTTTTTTCCTCACCATGCAACTTGAAATTATACTATCTGGACTGGTCATAACACCCAGAAGCCCTGTTTCCCCAAAAACCCAAAAGCGAAACTGATGTGGTGTTGCCCCTAATGATCCTCAGATATACGGTTACAAACTTAAAAACCACATATACGTGCATAGGCACACAGTGGGAACTCATTTATAAGATACCACAAATGACAAACAATCCAATTGGCATGTAACAATGGAAACTACAAAAACCCAGAAAAAAAAACAAAAAAACAAAAGAAGTCATCAAATAATAACTCACTCTTTGATTTAAGGCTTCAGAAACAAGCAGAGCAAAACATTATCATCTAATATAAGCTCGCTAAAATTCAAATAAACTACCATATTATGCTCTAGCTTTGGTTATAAGAATTCCAACCAAAATGAGCACGAACGCTATTACAGTAACATGATTTTGATTCACAAATGAAGTTTACAAGGCCCTGTACGGCAACTGCATTCGCTGCCGAGATCTCACTCACGAAAAAGCAGGAATATGCATACACACGCCTCTCTGTGTGTGAAAGCGAGAGAGAAATAGGGTTACCTGATCGAGATTAAGCAGCGACGTGATGAAGATTGCCGAGAAAGGGAGGAATACAGTGAGTTCAGAGAGAGAGAGAGAGAGATAGAGAGTGAGAGGGCTAAGCCCAATTGTTTAGAGCAATGGGTATGAGCTGCGACGAGACGATGATCCAAATGGAAGAACCAACTGGTATCAGTGTGTGTGTTCTAGGGTCGGACTCCGATCACGGGCTTGCCCTTTTTAGACCATTTGAGAAATGGGTTGGGCACAATTTTCAGTCCAATAGTTCTTTCTTTTTGGTCCGTAGTCCAATGGTTCTTTTGTTGTTTATTTTTTTTATTGGTCGAAACTTTTTAAAAATAATTACAAGATAAGGAGTATAAATGTGTCATGGGGGTTCGAAACTGATATCAGTGGTCTGCAAATCAAAGTCTTTTTTCACTGAGCTAGACTCCGTTAACTTTCTTGGTCGAACTTTTGTTGTTTACGCAATAGTTTTATCTTGTTCCTCTCTTTTTTCCAAGCCATATCGCATGTGTAATGTGTTTTTTCAGGGATTAATATTAAGTCGTCAATTTAATTGGATGGAAGGATACGATTAGATAATTGATGACAACAGGTTTCGTTTTCATATATGCACAATTGTCAATCATTCACGTGTGAACCTTAATGTAATAATATTTTTTTAACAAGTGCTGAATAATATACGCACATTTTTTATTAGCATTTATCTCGTTCTGTATTTACTAACTATGCTTTTGTATCCGTGTGCATTGGGACAAAAAGAAATTATAAGTATTACACCCCACCACTTTTGAACTGTTGTTATTGGAGATCAGAAGTTTTATCAGTCAGCCTCCTCAAATTTTATGGGTGAGAAATTACCTTATTACTGACCAAATGTGGGGTCTAGATGTCCTAGAAATGAAGTTGGTTTTTGATCACTAAAAACGACTAACTAATTTACTATAATAACTATAAAGTTTTGACTAAGATATTTAATCTTTTAATTAAGCGACTCCACCAACGACCAGTACCAAGGGCACTCCATCGTTCTAGAAACCATGGCCACAAACTTCTAGCACAAAATAACCCTAAAAAACCAAACTCATTCTCACAAGTTTAATCTCTACCATCCATTTCAACCAGTGGAATGTTATAGTAACCAAAACAGCTATATATAAAAACACCATCCAATTTTAAGTCACATTCAGAAAATAATCAAGGACAGCCCCTGTTGAAATATTAAGACAACCCCCCACCTCAGTTTTTTTAAAAATTTCTTCTTGAGCTTCAACCTAGAAAAAACACAATTTCTTAAACCAAATAATTAACATGGGTCCCTTGATCAAGAACACGTTCGTCAAGGTCCTAGCAATGCTGCTAGTGGCTCTTGTCATATGTGCTCCATCAACACAAGGAGGCCACCACAAGAAATTGCATCTTACCGGGCACGACAAGGTTAGTAGTTTCGAATCCGAAAAACAGACGTTCAAGGTTGGGGAGCCACTCTACAGGGTCAGGGGCAAGAACAATGTTGAGACCTTAATACCTGCGTACAAAGTTGCAGGGCTGTATCGGGTTAGAGAATGACCAAAACCCTAATTCACGTCCATTCATGAACATTGCAATATGTGCCAGAGCAATTTTTAGATATGGGAGCTAAATCTTGAATTTATTTTAGTATGTGCTGTAATAAATTTATGATGGGTTTAATAAAATACTACGATTATCATAATAACGTTGGTAGAATTCTTTATTGTTGCACAAAGTCAATGTTTATATGACTAATCACATGTTTCACGCACATACGTAACTTGTGTTGCACGTATCGTACCATATAATACCATGTTATTGAACAAAACTAGGCATATATGTAGCATTAATCACAAGTTTAAACAGAAGTATCTGATGAATTGCTCCGGATCTTATTCAGGATTCAAAAGATCTAGGCAAATGCAAACCTTTCTTCCTCTCAAGGTCAACCTAAACAACCCTACTTTATCTGCAATGTCTAATAATGGTTCAACTTCGCCCAACTTTTATTGCATTGTCTTTTGACAGTGTTTTTGGGGGGACCCCAATACGCAGAAGACAATTGAATTGAATGGAAATGACCAAAAGAGAAGCAAAGCTTCCAACTGGCCACAGGTCATCTGTGTCAAGAGAAAACCTTTAATCTAAACACTTGCTGCATCAACCTCTGTACTTAAATATAGGCCTCTCAAATTTCAATGTGAATCAAACCCTGATTTTTCTTTTTGTCTTTTTTCTTTTCTTGGGTCAAGGTTTCGGCAGTCAAACACGAGGCACACTACTTGGGTGTTGGGATCTGATTGGCTTACATATTTTGCTGCCTGGTTGGCCCAATATGTTTCTGATTATTGAATTGTCAAAGGAGCAAATAATTGGCTGAAAAAAATAGAGGGCCAAAAGCTCATCAAACTGACTGAGTTTCACATTTTCTTGCACTCAATCAAAGTTTGACTCTAGACTTAGTTTTCTTTGTTATCAAATGACTTAATCAGAATGTCATCCCATGCCAACATCTGTCTGTCTGAGGACCAAAGAGCTTTCTCATTCTATTCACCAATAAAATTCAAAAGCTTTCTTATTCAGTGGGGTCTTGAAGATGGAGTGGTTAATTAGTTTGGATTATGCATGAACCTTGTAAGTTTGAGGAAAATGGGAAAATGCTGACTTTTGACTGATCTCCTCATACAGACCTTATCTTCTACTGACTCATATTTGCATCAATTAAAAAATACTCATGCTTCTAGAAAGAGGGTTACCAGCACTAATTCTGAATTAGCCCTTAATTAATTGCATCCATTAGCAATTTAATTTTTTAAAATTAAGTTCACCATCACTATCATTTCCACCAAACCAAGTGAATTCCTTGTGATTTTTTTTGACTGGCCTTGTTTGCTTGTTAGTTGTTTTCTAGTACAATTCCATATGCAGTATTTCAAGCCATCAGCTCGCATGTTATTATAAAACCTCATGACATAATTTTGACAGAAAAACCAGCTGTCTGATGGGTATCTTGTCGTGCACACACACACACACACAAATCAAACCCCACATTACAATTTTTTCCAGTCTTTAATTGCATTTGAAATTCCTGTTCACACTATGTGAAGCCTTCTGACTTTTGCCACTCATCCAATTATCCCCAACCCAAATCATAAATGTATAAATATATGATCCCACCAGTTTACTTTCCTCATAAAATCTTTTGCCAGAAACAGAGTCCTCTGTTTTCTGCTTTCCTCCTCTGTTTTTTGCTCTGCTTCTAAACAGAACTTCTGTCCTCGGCTTGTAAACCAGACCTTTTGTTTAGCTTCAATTACCCCCACACAGTACAAACCATGGAAGCTGAACAAAGCCCAAAGAAGCCTCAGAAGCCAGAGACAAGGATTCCACCACCTAGAGGTCAAGTTAAAGCCAAGATTTTTAGAGACTTGTGGTCTAAAGTAAAGGCTGCAGCAGAATCCGTGGTAACTGGGCTGGGAGGGTGCTGTGGAAGCTGAGGCTACATGTTTGAGGGGCATTCAGATACTTGACCCTGGTGAAGTTAACAACATTTCAAGCTTGCAGGATTTAAAATTTGAATGTTTTTGACTCTTTTTTTTCTTCCTACGCAGATACAGAGTTGAAACCAAACAGATTATTTGGGTCATGGGCATGGCATTTTAGTTGAAATGGAAAATTGCTTAGTTAGGATATTTCTATATTTATATGCAAGTTTCAGGCCATTATATAGCAATGGCAGTATGGATTTTGCAAATTCTGCTTCTGGGTTTGGTTCTCTTATTTATCTGTTATGCTTAGTTAGCTTCCATTTCTTCCAAGTTTAGGAAGCTGGGGGCATGTGCATGCACAGATGAGTTACAAAGCAGAAATTGTAGCTCGTGGGTTCTTGTTTTTTATTTGATGGGATTCATGGAGGAAATTAAAATTAATAGATATGTTCTTCATTTTCAGTTGAAAAAGAAAGAAAGAAAAAGAAATGAAAAGACAGCAGCAGCAGCAGCACTATCAAGTATCAATGCTTAAAATACATGAGTGTAGAAGAACCTGATTCTCTTCCAAACTCAAACCGGTATTGTTAACTGTGTTGTTGTTGGCCTCTGGCCCAAGTCATCTTCGAATTACAAGTTCCCAATTTGATTTGTTCAGTGTAACAGCTGTGCATGTTTCCTTTCCTTTGGTTTTATTAAATTTAAATACTGTCTAATTTGATTACTTAATTGATATTTGATACTGGAGAGAGAGAGAGAGAGAGAGAGAGAGAGTTGCTAATAAAACAACATTATCTATCAGATATGCATTTGGTGTATAGTTAAGCAATTAACCTCGTATAGTAATAGTACTAATGCTAAACATCCATTTATTTATTTTAATATTTGTATTTGGTTGAACATGTCTGTTTGTCTGTTCTTCTAATGCATTCACACTACGTGGAGCTTATGTGAGACACTTGGCTTACATGCTTTGTTTGTCAGGCCAACTCTTCTTCTTCATCTTCAGTGACTAAATCATAATATATACACAAACCTTCAATATTATATCCACACACACCCTACAAGCCAGAAAAAGAAAAATGGAAGACAGAAGTAGATATAAGCCGATGCACAAAGAAGCAGCCACCCTTCCACCAAGGAGAGGCAAAATCAAAGCTAAAATATATGGGGACATCAAAGAGACTGTCATCAATCTGATAGGAATGGCATGTCAAAGTGACAATGGGGGACAAAGCTCATCAGCTTCAGCAAATCAGCCAGATGGTCAGAACAAAAAGGCTTGAAAAGCAAAGCATTTGTGTTCGGTGTTGGCAAATTTTCAACTCGTTTAGGTGACAATTTTCCAATTTCATTGTATGTTTATTTGCTCTGTGCTCATTTATTTGGTGATTAAAATTTTGCTTCGAGGTCTCAGGTTTGCACCCATGGCATCAGTCGTGTGTGAGAGAAACCCCTCCCGGTTTAGACTAGTACTAAAAATAAGTTTTGCTCTCTGAATAATCATGTTTCTTACTTGTTTGATGACACCAAATTATTCTACTTTTGGATGGTGCTTTCTTTAGTGCATCTAATTAATTCACATGTTTAATTCACTTGATGTTGTTTTGTTAGAGAAACTATAATGCCTGATGTGGACCTAAGAATTTAAAAATTACCCGATTTTTTTTTCTTCAAGATTCATGTTTCATTCATTAGTTGTCTGCTGCACCAGAAAGGTCCAGAACCAATTTTCAAATACCAGTCACAATCTGATTCTGTCACACCAGAATCCGGTTCTTCAGATTAAAATTATATATTTTGCCATGGACTTAATATAATAGTTTCTAGTTGATCTCCTTTATGCTTTTGTTTTTTTTGAGGTTTTTCTTGGCCACGGCAAAATCACTAGTGCATGTGCATTTCTTGTTCTTGTCAATTCTCATCCCAATATTTTTTTTTAATACTGAAATAGAGGTGATGGAATCTATGTGTGGATCCAACCCCCCCCCAGTTAATTCCTTTATATTCAGCATTCAGGCAATTTTATATATGGTGTTCACACTGCATGTGCATGAGTGATAAAGACTTTTTTGACAAAATTGCGTAACTAATAATTGCTTCCTCCACCAAATACACATAAAGTGCACACTTCCAGTTCAGCTCACTTCACCACCACTGCCCTGCAGCTTCTCCTCTTCTCTTCTTCTTCTTCTTCTTTTCCTAAAAAATCAGCTGAGAAATGGAAAACAAGAGCACCAAGCCAGTGAAGAAAGGAAAAGAATCAAAATCCATGGCCAATATCCCACCACAAAGAGGTCAGATCAAAGCTAGAATATTTGGGGAACTGATAGAGACTCTGAGCAGCATAGCAGGAGGAGCAGGAGCAAAGTGTGTTACGGGTTCATCAAGTGGCTACTATTCTGATGAGAAACACTAGCAGACTAGCAGTATTTGGGAAAGGGGAGGAGAGGCCCTCAGTACCGGCCAATTTGCCTTTAGCTATGAGGATGAGACTGATGATGAGAGAAAGGGTAGGGGTTTTCTTTGTATTCTTGTTTTTTATTTTCTTTCAAGTTTGAGGGTTTGAAGCAAATTAGTGAATTCAATTTGTTTCTGCAAATTAGTGAAATATATTTGCCACTTATCTTCTGTATCTACCTGTCTGGCTGAAAAGTTGAAATCAAAGGTGCATTTCTCCAATGCTTTTGATGAACATCAGTTTCATTTATTTACCACATCAAGAAAGATTGTGATCTTGATATAATTAACCAACTTCTTTGCTTGGTCTGCAAAGCTTTCATGTTCTTACCAATTAAGCAACAAGTTATAATCAGACAATCAGTGGTCCTCAAAGTGGGGCTGCAGGCAGTCCTGTCAGTCACAGTCGAGAAAGAAATGAAGAAAAACTCGTCACAGTCGAGAAAGAAACTTGCAGAAAAGTATATGAAAGTGGAAAAATAAAATAAAAAGTTCATTGAATCCACCAACGAAATCAAGTTCAACCATCATGGACAAATCCAAACTGATATCTTATTAGATTGACCATTTCCTAAGGGATTTTGGACCACTAGGAATCTTATCTACGCATTTGAAAGTGAAAGAACACTCATTGGTTAACTTTAAGAGGAAGTCTGCCTCATCAAAATTCATTCTTTTGACTTTTATTTATCATCTTACATCACAGGTTATTGTCATGAATACGTCACAGAATTAATAGATACAAGTTTTGTCTAAAAAGAATGATCTTTTGGTGATCAATGAGGCATTGAATTTGTTGGATGAGCATGAAATATGACTACATTTCATGATTGATTAATTTCTACTCATTCAATCTACCATTCCTACTGTAACTCTTCCCCCTTGATTTGCGTTCCTTCCAATATTCTGAGAGTGCAGAGGTTATGCTTTAATTTCTCTCAGTTGCCTAGACAGTAACTCACCAGTAGTCTCTTGTTCCCTCTATTAAAAAATTTCAAACAATGAAACTGGCAATTTGTTATTCTAGAAGGTCACCACCAGACCTACGCATATGAGAGAGAGAGAGAGAGAGAGAGAGAGAGAGAGAGAGAGAGAGAGAGAGAGGATGTTCACACCTTCAATGACAAAGTTTCCCTTTCTATAATTATGTTGACTTATGGTTTAGAGAGAACATGTATCTGAAGTATTATCTATTGCATTGCCTTGATGTCGATGTGGGATTTGGTAAAAATGGAAAATCTGGGTGTTCCCACCTCACATCAAAATTCAAATGCAGAATATATGGTCCTAGTTTGGGGAAGACAAAAAAAGAAAGATAAAGATGGGCAGTTAAACATTTGACAGACCCCATATATATATATATATATATATATATTTCCCTTATAGTGAGGGATTCCTCAAATAAATATTTGAGGGACACCCTTTCGGGTCCCCTATGATTTTTTTTTCAACGATCCAAACCATCCATTTTTTAAGTCTATATGCATAAATCATCCTTGCAAAAAATTAAACAAATCGGAAACCATTCCGACATCCAATTGTGTCATACAAAATCTATGAACACGGTGCTTCAAGAAAATACTAAAATTTCAATAACTCAATTGAGTGGTCAAATGATATTAGATTCAAGTGATGTTTTGTAGAGATGATCTTTAAATGAATATCTACAAAATAGAATTGTTGAAGAAAAATGTAAACCTCCAAACATAATTTCACCACCACTAATCAATTAATGGGGTTTTATTATTTTAGGTTCGACCCATTCGAGACATAAGTCTCTTAATTACAATCCCTCGCTACAAGGAAAAACCCTTTGATTCCAACATAAAGAAACAGAACGTATGTGTTTGGTTTTGCGGCTGCTCCCAAGTTCAACCTCAGGGTGCCTACGTATCCTTTGCAGGAATCAAGCCACTCGTAGTTCAAAGATTCGCAATGAATAGATGACTCATTGCAAAAAGGGGGAATTTGAATGAATTCGATTGAGGGGTGTTTGAGTGAATTTAGCTGAATAAGCCAGGGATTCGATATGGAGTTGTGTTTGGGATGGTTGCATCTAGATTGAATCTCTAGATTGCCTACGTACCCTTTCAAAGGGATCAAACCAACGTAGTTCAGAATTGATTTGTGTAGAGATTTGATTGGTGAGAATTTGGTTGCGGTAACCAGTGATTCAAATTTGGTTGCGGTTGTGTCTATTGGGATGTTAGACTGCCTACGTACCCTTGATGGGATCAAACCGACGTAGTTCCAAAGGATTGGAGATTAATAGGTAAGTATGGCCCAATAATTTAGAGTTGGTGTCTTTGAAACAATTTGAAGATTTTCACAGGTAGATGACCTATTGGAAATTAATGGGTAAGTGTGGCCCAATAATTTAGAATTTGTGTTTGAGATATTTGAATCTCATTAGAATTTTCATGAGTAGATGACCCACGAGAAAAACTGGAAATTAATGGGTGAGTGTGGACAAATTTGGTTAGGATAAAACCAGGGATTCAAATTTAGTTGCGGTTGCGTCTATTGGGATGTTAGACTGCCTACGTACCCTTGGCGGGATCAAACCGACGTAGTTCCAAAGTTTGGAGATTAATAGGTAAGTGTGACCCAATAATTTAGAGTTGGTGTCTTTGAAACAATTTGAAAGGTTTTCATAGGTAGATGACCTATTGGAAATTAATGGGTAAGTGTGGCCCAATAATTTAGAATTTGTGTTTGAGATATTTGAATCTCATTAGAATTTTCATGAGTAGATGACCCACGAGAAAAAATTAGAAATTAATGGGTAAGTGTGACCCAATAATTTAGAATTTGTATCTTTGAGATAATTTGGGGATTTTCATAGGTAGATGACCTATGGGAAAAATTTAAAATTAATGGGTAAGTGTGGCCCACTAATTGAGAATTTGTGTTCGAGATATTTGAATTTAATCTCATTGGAATTTTCATGAGTAGATGACCCACGAGAAAAACTGGAAATTAATGGGTGAGTGTGGACAAATTTGGTTAGAATAAAACCAGGGATTCAAATTTAGTTGCGGTTGCGTCTATTGGGATGTTAGACTGCCTACGTACCCTTGATGGGATCAAACCAACGTAGTTCCAAAGGATTGGACCTTCAAAGAATGAATGACCCTTTGAAAGAATTTTATGTTTGAGAAATTTGAATTTTGATCTCATTGAAAATTTGCAGGGTAGATGACCCATGAGAAAATGTGGAATGGTTTTGTACCATTTTTATTGTTAAAGTCCAAAGAAAATTAAAAGGCATTTTGATGAGCCAATTAATTTACTCACATATGGTTTTAAGGATTAAGCCATTAACCACATAATTTATTTGGACCACCCATAAAATATTTTGGGCTCTTGAGAGTTAATGGGTAATTTGTTTTGTCAACCCATCAATTTGTCTCCGGGCCTTGATATTTCCATCAGTTGGCCCATAAACAAATAATCCATGTCAGAAAAGCTTTGAGAACCAGTTGAATTTTGAAACCGATATCTATTTGGAGTAGTAGAGATTAATCCAAACTGAGTCACTCCCATCTTTATCTGGAGTAGTTCAAATCAATTATAACTGGACCAAATTATATATCTCTTCAACTACTCATCTGCCACAATTAATACAGAGCCTTGAGTCGGAGACGCCAAAACCAAGGCAAGACCTTTCTTTTGCTCATGTCTGTCAAAGCAGACCATGTAGTCCACTAAACATGAATTGAAAGTCATCCCAGGCGTCATTCACTTTGCTTTGGCAGGTTTCTTTTATTTTATTTTTGTCTTATTCCCCTCTCTTTGCTTTTCGTTTCTTTTCTTCTTATTTGCTTTTCGTCACTTTTCTCTTTCAGCTTCTGGGACTTCTTCAAGTTTTAGGCTTCTTTGTCTTTGGCTTATGTTGCTTTTGGATTCTTCAACAGCCACAACACAGGAGGTTTCTTGGTGAGCCATTTTTCCTTTTGCTTTTTGCTTGCTGAAGCTTTGTGCATCCTTTTCTTTCCAATTTGATTGGAATTTCTAAGGCTTTGCATATTTTCCTTTGCAGACTCGTATCATTTGAGAGGGCCACCGTACTGCCAATTGAGGTGCTGACTTTGCTTTGTCTCAGTTGCTTCATATTTTGCCAGCAACAAAGTGAGAAGCTTTTAATAATTTTCGTGGGCTGTCCGGCTTGGGATTTTTTCTTTGTTGGCAAATTTTGAAGCACAGAACGTGGGTGTGATTCATCGGCTCTTGTAAGCTTTCTGGCACTCAGTAATTTCTGCATCTCCTTTAATATATTTTCTTCTGTTTATGCCAATGGGTGAGACTAAAACAGAGTTATTGATTTTCTCCATTTGCAGCACGTTTTGCCACCTGTTCTTTCTCCAATTTGCAGATTTGGAATTTTACTCTGCTGAAGGTGGGTTGGGCATGTAATAAAACGTTTGGACTGTTGATGTTTTCTGTTTTTGGTACTCAAGAACACTCGCAAGGTCTTCTCTGAGTACCACAATGTGCCTGTGGACACTCACAAGGTGTTCACAGCACTTGTACAGTGGGGTTCTTGCGGAAGCCCATCTGTAATTCACAACAGAGAGGTCCTTGTGAGAGCTCTCTTTGTGTAAGTGGCACAATTATTACCAATTTGGGAGGATTTGTTCACATTTTTCCACTGCTGAGGTCTCTGTTGATATGATACACTTCTTGATATCAAACATGGAGGAAGTTCAGGCTTCCGTCACAAGGTGTTCACAGCACTTGTACAGTGGGGTTCTTGCGGAAGCCCATCTGTAATTCACAACAGAGAGGTCCTTGTGAGAGCTCTCTTTGTGCAAGTAGCACAATTATTGCCAATTTGGGAGGATTTGTTCATGATTTTCCACTGCTGAGGTCTCTGTTGATATGATACATTTCTTGATATCAAACATGGAGGAAGTTCAGGCTTCCGTACAATGGCTTCACATGCATTTTTTGCTTTACCTGTAAGTCAGTTGTACATAAAAGGATACTCAAATGAATTTGTTTATACCTTCTCAATGATATTGTGACAGAGCTTCGTATCTCTTTTGCTTGTTTCTGTTCTTTGGATTTCTGCAGCCGTGTTCTTTGGATTTCTGCAGCAGTTCGGTGTCTTTTCCTTTTTTTTTTCTTCTGCCTCTCTTTGCCTCCTTTGGTTCCTTTTTATAGACCCAGAAGAACTGATAGAGTGGAGCCAGTTATGGCCTCACGTACTGCGTGGGTGGGAATAACTTCCCATTTTCACTCACCCCCTCAACTCCACACTTCAAAGTCACGTACATGAAACTGTTTCTGCTTTCAATATATTAATATTTCCTTGTAAAAAATATCAATATTAATTCATTTGGGCCTAAACCAATTTAGTAACAAGTCCACAGAATCATTTTTAGCTATGGGCCCGACTTCTTTAAACTTGGCCAATATTTAATTTGCTGTCAATGAATTTTTTTATTTCAACAAGAATGTTTGGATTAATGAAATATAATACGAAGTGGGCCCTATAAAGATGTCCATCAAATAAACTTATTTGAAGAATCTCTCTCTCTCTCCGAGCCTTTTAATATATGCTGTGATTGATCATTGTGAAGGGGCCCACATGCCAAACTTGTGTTGGTCTCCAATCCACAATTTCTTATTTAGAGACTAAGGTGAAAGTGCCAGACAGCTTTCCTTGAAGCCCAAGGCACAAATTTTTTGTCTATGTATGTCACAGGAGAGTCACCTTCAGCATTGTACATATGGGTACTGCAAATGGTCTTAATAAAACAAAAGAGTAGACCAAGACTATCATTGGCTTGAATACAAGGAGCTAGATTCATCAAACCAAGCGGAAAAAAACGTTTATTTACTTGCAATAATTCAATCAGATTCTGATTTATACACCTTTTCTTCTCATTCATGTGCCCATCGGTGTCAATGGAGATTCATGTCCCCAACCCCAACCTAGAGGTGGTCAAATTTCCCACATGGAAAATGAGGAAGAATCTCTATAAATGTAATTTTGAAGAGATGTGACAGAGAGCTCACCAGCATTGAATGTAGTTTTCTTCACCAACGAAACTGAATTCCTTTCAAACTTCTTTTTCTGGAAGCTTGGATCTTTGTCACTTGTAGCGAGACTCCAAGGGCTGATGATACAAAGTCAAAAAATTGAGTGGAAACTGCTAAACACAATTCCACTCCAGAGGTCCACTCACTCAGATGTCTGAAGCAGATGAGTCAGCCATTATTGTTGTTGGCATGATTCTGTGAAAGTTCTGTTATCTATGTTACAGTCGAGTGATTTTTATTTTATCTTTTAGTTAACCGATTCTTATCATCATCTGATGTTTCTTCCTACATACAAAAAAATAGGAATGTGACATTCATCTTATAGGAAAGGTAGAGACACCAGATGTTAATTGAACAACAGCAATCTGAATCAAAATTTGGATTTTTTTTTCCTTGCATAAAACATTAAGCCACATCCCGAGAACCAAGAATTTGGCATAAAAAATACAAATAAAAAACATCCCAGGGCAAATAATACATTATTTCCTCTCACATTTCTGGTTATAGTCTCTTTCAGTCCCTCGCTAGCAATAAACTCACTTCTCCCCCTCTTCAAGATGCCTCTATACCTGGTTCCCTTATCTGAATGGATGTTCTTGACAAACTTGCTTCAAGTTCATTTAACTCATCCATGTCCAACTCATCGTCGTCATCGTCGTCGTCACCGTCATCATCGATGGGGACTTCTTCGGAACCAGCCACACTAGTAGAGGCGCTTGGTCCTGCTGCTGCTGAGTTGTCTTTGACCTGAAATGAAGCACAGACAAACTGAGATAACAAAATAAATGGAAATTGTTAAGACAATTACTAAATGTCCAAGTAAATGGGAACCATCCGACTTCATTTGAACTAGGTATTGTCTTAAGAGTTCAAGAAAGCACAGCAACCATCGATGATATTTATAGCTCCTGGATTCAAAATATTTGTTCCTTGGTAATGATAAATGCGGTACTACATAGTTACACTACTACTTGTGTACCAAAACCAGAATTACCTATGCGAAGATTTTGGTTCTTGTGTCACTGGTTAATATTTTTTTTTTTAAAGTATGAAACAGTTACTGTTGCAGCAACTGAGTAATAACATCTCAATCATTTGCAACAACCACGACAGATATAATAATTAATTTATAAACTCATGGACAGCAAAGGCTTGTTTTTTTTCTTTCTTTATAGTCTCATTTAATAAAGAAAGAGCTTCAAGAGATGGCACATTCCCTGAGCAAACTCCTATAGTGCCAGTAGAGTTTTCAGTCTAAAGGCAAGTCGCAACAGGAACTTTATAGTGACAGGGTCACAATCATAGAGAACACTCAACGCAATGTTTCATCAAACCCTATTTTGGCAGAGACCGCCACACATTGTTATTGAAAGCTATATACCGTTTTCACATCAATATCAAACTTCAATCTCATGTTTTCTTCATTTCTCTTGGCATAAGAGAAAAGTTGTAGTAAGATTATGATCATATTTTGAAGAAAATGGTTATTCTATCCAAATGTCCTGTAAATTTCCACCTATATCTACAAGTCAAATGGGGAGCACTCCTTGTTGCTGAGGATTCATGCAACAAGGCAATAGACAGAACCACAAAGAGCTAAGAAAAACATGATATACGCCCTAAAAGGATCAGGATGCATGGATCTGTAATCAAAACTTGATAATCTCACCAGAAAAACCTTGAAACCATGATCCACTATAAACAAAATAAACAAAGAGACAACATAACCACATAAAAAACATAACGAGATAAGAATAAGGAATTGAAAAGCAAATCACATTGAGGCATCTACAGCAGAATCTTATCTCATTGCATCAATCTCATCATTTTGGTATCATCTAAGTCATTGACGAACTCAAAAGGATGTTCAATCCTCCCTTGAACTTAGCTATCATGGCCGCATAAAAAGAATAACGAGATAAGAATAAGGAATTGAAAAGCAAATCACATTTAGACATCTACGGCAGAATCTTATCTCATTGCATCAATCAAATCATTTTGGTATCATATAAGTCATTGACGAATTCAAAAGAATGTTCAATCCTCCCTTGTACTTGGCTATCACGGCATTATCATTATAACTGTGGCCATTCTGTGCCGCATGCAATGGCCATCCAGCATTAAAGCTTGACCAGCATGTAAGTAATAACAAAAAACAAAACTTCTATTACATAACACTGAACAGTTATCTTTATCAAGATACTGAAATAGTTCAATTCTTTTTCTTTTCCCTTATTAAAAAAAAACTGAGGTGATGCCCATAGCTGAGAATAACTTCTAGACAATCAAGCCCAAACAAAAGTAATGACAGATAGCCCAAATGACCAGAAAAATAGCATCTTTGGACACTTAATTTGATAAGCCAATAATTTTCTTTGACAAAGCATGAGAAGCGTTGAAACGAGAAACCAAAAATTTAGATACAGAAACCAAAAAAATAATAAACAAAAGCAAAAAAAAAAAAATCAAAGATAATAATAATAATCACATAAGTCTCCTTTTTTTCCCTCCCTTCTAATTGATGAGATGTTGGAAGTTAAAAGTTAGCTAAAACGTTACCAAAAGAATATACAGAAACACACTAAAGCTTTGTTGACTTCGAAAGTGACATGTACCGGTCCATCATAAATAAATCACATGTGTAATACAAAATGAAAATATTACCTTCTCTTCAGCAGCCTCAGGTTCTTGTCTCTGGTATTTTTCATAAGCTTCAGCATCATCCACAAACACGCTAGCATCCGCAAGAAACAACTCACGACCACTGAAATACAGAAAAAATTGAGTCAATAGCATAAAACAAAAAAATACATACAAAATGCAAACCATGGAAGGAACAAAACCTCATGCGGTCATTCTTAGCCCTCTCTGCTCGTTGTACAGCCAGGCCAGCCTCTTTCTCTTCTGTCTTTTTCTTCCTCCATTGCATGAACAAATCAGTGGTCATTGGAGTACAGGTTGTAACTTTTGCACGCTGCAGTAATCAGCAGATGAGCATTAAAAATACAAAACAGAGGAAATAAAGCTTAAAAAATACTTAAGGATGCAATGCATATATTTGCAAATGTACAAAAAGTTTCCACCACAACAGTGAAGGACAAAATGAAAATGCAAAGTTAACAAAATCAATATGATCATCACCTGATTTTCGATCTCATCCTCAATGGCAATTTTTTCAGACTCTTCGTCAAGAAGTGACTTCATCTGAGACTTCAAAATATAGCCAGGAGGAAGAGCATGTCTGTAATGGCACTCTTTTCCACCATTTGGACAAGCCCAAAACCAACCATACTGCTTCTTTTCCACTGCTTCCAAGAAGTGTTTGCAAACCTGTACATATTAAAGGCCAACTGATTCATAACAAGATATACTGCTACATTATCAAATTGCCCAACCATAACTTAAAAAAGTATTGTACTGTTTAACTATCACTATTTTTAATTTTTGAATGTTTACTCATCTAGAGGAGAAAAATAATTTATCCCTCTAGTATTCAATAACCCCACCAAAATTTAATTCACTAGCATTGCCTACAATAGAGATCCAATCTATAATCCCAAAAGTTTCAAGCAACATCGCAGATTCTTTACAAGCATATTTCTTACTTAAACATTCAACAAAGCAACCAGCCAAACAGAACGTTTGCATTAAGCTAGCATTGGAGATACCAGATCACATTTTTCTAACAGAAGCTTAAACCCACCACAACTGAAAAGAGTAAAAGCATCCATCCACTCCAACTCGTTAGATAAGACATAAATCCATCACCTAAATTCACTACATGTACTTGCATAAAGTTGAGCATTTTAACATGCCCCATTGCCAATGACTTGTTCTTCAGAAACATAAATCAGTTATCAGATTGTGACATCAACTATTTAAATTGTAACATAACCCATATGATCAATGATTGCAAAGCTGACCTACACCACCTAAAAGCACTAGTTTCAAAAGAAGACCAACGTCCCATGCAACTAAACCTTTGCCTTCTTTTTTTTTCTCTCTCTCTTTTTCCACTCAAGAAACATAATTGATGTAATGGCTAACGTACCCTGAAAGGCCTCCATATTCCATCCTAAGTAACCAGAAACATTTGAAGGGTGGGTAGGTAGGGAAAGAAGTAGGGATAGAAAGACATAGGTCTAACTAGACGGGGAGGGAGAGAGAGAGAGAGCAACACATTCAAATGCAAATATCTTAACACTGAAATAGACATACAATCTCGGTGGGCTTATTCTGGTTATACTCATTCTTCTTTGACTCCACAACCTTCTCCAACGTCTCTTGATCCCAATCCTCCATTGTTTCTGAAAATATAATCAACACAGAATAAGCAAAACATATGCCCATATATTAGCATGAAAACGGTAAATAAGACATGTGAATCCTCTCACCATCATCGCGCTTATCACTGTAAATATCAATCTTTTCACCCTTCCTCTGAACATTCAAATCATGGGAAAATTTGCACTTAAATCCCTTAGTACATTGCCCAACCTTGAAAAACTCGCACAATATAGACTTGGGATCAACACCTATTCAAATTCCCAATTCGGTTACAAACATACCATAATCAATCCGCTATTGAACACAATATAATCAACTATCACCAAACACGACTAAGAAACATGTCAGAGTTGGGGTACATACTACATACCAGCTGGCACTTTTGGCTGACTAACAGCAACCTTGAACAAATCATTAAGCTCCTTCTCTTTGGCTTTCTCTTCCTCCTTCTTTTTCTGCAAGACCCATTAAAAAAATGATAAAACCCAATTTCACAAAACTACATCCAAACGTTATTTTCTAATAAGAATCATCAATTTTCATTATTTTAGCTAATTCTTGTCTAACCAAATACAACCCAATACGGGAAAAATAACAGACATATGAGAGGATCCGAATAAGAAACAGTGAGAAACGGACCTTGGCTTTGGTTGGGTCTACTTTGGGCTGGACTGACTGCTTGAGATTCTGTACGTACTTCTGGACATTCTTACTCTTGTTCTTGTTCTTCAGACCAAAGGTCTTGTCCTCCACGACCTTCTGCTTCTTTGCCAAGTCGGCCTTCGATGCCTTTGGCGGCATGGCTAATTCGAATTCAACAAACGAACAAAAATAGAAAAATAAAAGGGAAAGCTAGAGCAATCTGTGGTTTCTGAAATGAATAAAGTTACCAACTTCCGGTGCAGATTTGCTTAATTTTGAATCAGATATGGCGATTAGGGTTTTCGAGAGCCCTCTCTGTGCACCTTTTGAGAAGGATGAGCGAATGGCGTATAGTGACCAGGGTAGGACTAGCGTGTTGTTCTGCTGGCCTAAAATTCCGATTTTGCCCTAACTTTCTGGCTGCAACTATTAATAGTGTTTGAGTTTTGTCGAGTTTAGATTCATGTTGGGTACAAGTCAATTCCCAACTCAACAAAATTTCTATTACGTTAATTGATATATTTGCCAAATTAAAATTTTATAATAATTTATATTTCTAAGATAAAATTTTCAATTTTTTCTTTCTGTCAAAATGGTATTCACACTTTTCATATGAGTTTACTTGACTGGTATATTAGTGATAAATTATTAAGTAATTACATCGTATAAATACATAAAACATGATTCGACAATCTAACAATTGATAACTACCAACTCATCTTTGTTGTTCATAGTTGGTTTCATTTGGTGATTTATGGCTAAATAATAGTCCACTATTGTTTTTCTTTTTCAATAACAAAGTAAATAATTAATTATAAGTTGAATAATTATGGGGTATAACGGATTTATAACTCAAATGGTTAAGAACATTTACATATGCATTCAAGGTTTTAGATTCGATTTTTCCTTCTGGCTACAACTATAGGGTATAACGGATATCCATATGCATTTACATGGTTATAGGGTATAACGGTTTTGTAGCTCAAGTTGTACTTTTTTTTTTTTTTTTTTTTTTTTTTTTTTTTACTAAGTTGTAATATACTAATATCGCTTGTATTTATAAAAAAAATTGCAAGGGTATAATTGTCACTTTGAAAAATGCTCCTTTAGGTTTACCACGTGGCGCGCTAACTTGGGTAAGGTAAGGTTCACAATTGCATACGACGCGGCGTAACGCGCCGTATGAGACAGTTACCGTTAAACTGTAGCCACGAGCACGAAGCTCAGAGAGCAAAGCTGAACCAGAAGAGAGAGAGAGAGAGAGAGAGAGCGCGATGACGCCAATGAGGATGACATACCGTACGGTCTTCAAGGTTTATCAGAGCAAAAATAGAGTGCCATATTTGTTTCAATCGCGTTCATACTCTCAGTCGCAGTTTCAATCTAGGCCCGAACCCGAACGGTTATATCCAATTCTCTGTTTGGCTTCCGAGAAACGGTAGGAAAATTATAGAAATAGCTAAAAGGTGATGTTTGGTTGCATTGTAGGTCTTCGTTTGGAATTGCGTTTGACATTGACGGGGTTATTCTCCGTGGCCGTGTTCCCGTTGGAGGGTCTCCGCGAGCTTTAAGGAAGTTGTACGGAATATCAGGTACTAAGAACTCCATGTTTTCTCTCTCTAAATTAAAAAATTTCATTTATTTTTCAACAAAATGAAAAAGAAAAAGAAAAATAGAAATTCGTTTTTGTTTCTTATTTTCTGGGCAAGTGAACTGATTCATTTGGCTCAAGTTTATGTATTGTGTTATTGTGGATGATGGTTTTTCATTGACATGGTTTACTTTTTCGCTCATAGCATCTCTAGCTTAATGAAAATACTGCTTCTTTGTAGGTACTTTGAAGGCTCCTTTTCTGTTTTTGACCAATGGTAAGTCATCTGAGCGTTTTCACATTGGAAACATTCAGTATGTTTTGGTTAGAACTCCATTCGAATTTCATTTAGTTCAACAATAGATTTTTGTTCATAATTTTGACTTAAGTCTATAATCTTTGAGATATTCTTACTTGTGTGTCTGAGTGTCTTACCAGTATATTTATACTTAGCCCATGTCACGTGGATTGTTCCTTTGTAGTCTCTGTTCCAAAGAGTTAGATACAAAGTGGAAGAATAAACTTTCTAATAGCTACTATGCGGTTGAAATAGGAGGTGGCATACCAGAATCAAGACGAGCCGCTGAATTAACTGAACTTTTGGGAGTTAACATCTTGCCTTCTCAGGTAATATTCTAAACATTTTAATTATGTATTATGAGCTTAAAGATGATGTTCTTTTGTTTCCAATTTTTGGTGAATTTTATTTGACTGATGGAACCTTTGGAATAGCTCTCTTTTCTTTTTTTATCGTGATGCAGGTTGTACAGGGTCACACACCTTTTAAAAGTCTGTTGAGAAGGTATATGTCAGTTTGACATGAATCTTTTGCTACATTGATGTGTAATTTTGATGTATCATATTCTCCCCTGACTTTGTTTATAGTTCAGAGTGTAAACAATGTATTAACCTATTTTAATTATCCTATGGCGATTTTATCCGTTTTACTCACAGATATGAGAATGAACTCATTATTGCTCTTGGAAAAGGGGAACCGGCTCTTGTAATGTCTGATTATGGTTTCAAGTAAATTTTTAACTTAAAGTCTAGCTTGTTCTTGATTGTAGAGTCGTCTGAGTTTGAATTTGATACCTCCTGTTGCTAGATTTTGTGAGAGTAACAGATAGCCAAATTTATTTGTGGTGGCAGAAAAGTGCTCTCATTAGATGAGTATGCATCCTACTTCAAGAATATTGATCCTGTATCTCAATATAAACTGTGGAGAACTAAGCAGGCATTGGATTGCAGCCACCCCAAGGAGTCTGTGCCAAGATATGATGTTTATTCTGACAGGGTTAGTGCAGCTTTTGTTGTCAGCGACCCTGTAGATTGGGGCAGGGACATTCAGGTATCTTTTTCATTTTACCATTTAGAATGCAGTATTAGGAAATCAAAGCATCTAAGAATTTGAAATTGTAGCTTCCCTTGGCCTAGCGGGCTCAAATCCCACATAAATTGCCAACTTTGGTATGTGTGTGAAGTAGAAAATAAAGTTTTGGGAACTGCAACTTTACCGTCATGTTATTGCAGATGACCGCGGTCATTTGTGTCCTTACCAAAGCTGTGAGCTGATCCATGAATTGAATTAGGTTCTCTGTGACATTCTAAGATCTGGAGGGTTTCCTGGACAAGAGAATGGCCATCAACCACCTCTATATTTTGCCGCAGATGATCTTGAGTATCAGGTTGGTAGCTATGATTCTATAAAGATGTGGGCTGAAAAACTGAATCCTGAATTTGGAGATATAAAGAAACAAGCCACGATTTGTTTGTTTGCTTAAGTGATCTGTTTGCTAAAACCCGTTGAATCTTGTACTATGCCCATGAACATCTTCGATGCATTGGGTTCTATATGGATGATATGCCCCAATCCCTGACATTTAGAAGAGTAGGATTCATTTTTTCTCTCTTCCCTTTATTCATCATCAACCTTCTTTCTTTTTCAACTTTAAGTTTCACATGGTACTGGAATTGTACTGATCAGCCGCCTACTTATAACATACAGGCTGCATTTCCTTCTGAGCGACTCGGAATGGGTGCTTTCAGAATTGCACTTGAAAGCATCTTCAACAGGTGAGGTGTCATATTCCATTGTATTTATAATCCTACCTTTGCATGCCAGCACATCTGATTGAACACTAAGTTATTCTGTCATATGCAGTCCATGCTACCTTTGCATGCTTTCAGTAATATAATTTACTTTTGGCTTTGCTGCAGGATTCACCATGATGCTTTGGAATATGTCTCTTTTGGGAAGCCAAATCCGTTTGTGTTTAAGAACACTGAAGCTCTATTGACACAGCTTCAACCATCTCATTGTCATAATGATACAACAAATACTGGAAACTCTCAGTCGCATGCTTTCAAAACCCTTTACATGATTGGTGATAACCCTTCAGTTGATATCAAAGGTGCTCAACAGGTCTGTCTTTCTCCTTACAGTGAAAAATTGTTACTATTAAATTCTTTGAAGTTTGAATTTATTTTGACAAGCATTGCACCTGGTTCTCAGGCTGGACATCCTTGGTTTTCTATTTTGACGAGGACAGGCGTTTTTAAGGGGAAAGATAATCATGCAGAGTTTCCAGCAGATCTGGTACGTTGGATATACATCATCAGAATATTTTGGCGGTGCCAGAGATAGTTTGTCACTTGCAAGTGTGAAAAATGCGTAATAACTTATAATTTCCATTTGATTGCATTTGCGTTAAACTTTTTGCATACCCTTTTGTTCCTACTGTAGGTTGTGGATACCGTAGAAGAGGCAGTGGACTACATTCTGAAGAGAGAAGGAACTTCTTAGCTCAGAAAAAAGAAAGAAAAGAAAATTTACTCAAGAGTGATTATGTATGTACTGGGTTTCGCTTGTATGGTTGACAGAAAATTGGATCAAGCAGCTCTTATAATTGAATGCAAGCTCATATTCAGTTTCATGGCCTTTTCTTTTTAGCTGATTTCATGGCTAAAAATTGATCCTGTGCTAATCCTAGGTTACGCGCTGATTTCGGTACTGATGGATATTTTGATCACGAGAGCCACTATCCTTACAATTGCCACAGGACAAGTACAAAGGAGTGGTTTTCGTGCAAGCAAGTTCACCACAATCTGCTTGCGTAAGCTCAGACAAAATAATGTTTACCTTCTCAGTGCCTTTGTTCCACTATGGAGGTTGGTATGGAAAGTTGCCCATTTTTTTCCCACTCTTTTTCTGTCTATTAAAATGACAGCCTTTTCATCCATTTTCTTTCACGTACACAATAGATGACGTTCTTCCACCCAAATTTTTTTTTAAAAAAAAAAAGAGAGAGAGAGGATATGTTACTCTGTATGTTTGCTTCAATTGAATGAAGGAAATCATGAATCGGGAAAGTTGAGAATATGAGATAAGTAATCGGAACTCACATAACCCATGTTTTAGTGAACACATTTTCAGTACGTGATCAGAATATTTCCAGCACAATTTAATTTATCTCCAAACTACATGTCATACCATCTACGAAGCTCTTGCAGTAAGTCGAAATCATTAATGGAGTTTTTGTTTGTTTGTGTGGCGTGTTATATATCCTCCAAAGATGTCAGCAATATCAACAATAATTGAGATAGAAAAGCATTACTTTTTTATTTACGAGATCATTCATATGAGCAAAGCATCAACAAAGATGCATGTGTTCAACAACAATCAAGGCTTAGCCTACATATCTCAGAGATTAGCATAGCCAACGACAGGCATCATCAGAAGGGATTAGCTTCTGAAATTCAATTCACATGTGATTTACATTCTCAAACTCCATCCTCCTAGATGTGTTTGCTAAGAATTGTCTCAATAACACCTTGAGCTATAGGGTGATAAGTGTCACGCGCCTCTGCAAACACCCTTTTGGCCAAAATCTTCTCTTCTTCCTTTCCGGTGCCGCCTTCTACAAGAGCAGAATAGAGTGGGACAAGGTACTTCTTCCTTCCAACTGCCTTCAAAGTTTTCTCCACCTCAACATAGTGTTCTTTGCACTTGGAAGCAATGGCCAGTAGGAGGAATGCCACCTTCACCTCGTAATCTTTCGATTCGGACAGCCTGAAGCGTGAATTCAACTCCAAAATCTGCAAATCCAAACACATGTTATGATAAGACAACATAAAAGTGGGATAGATTTAACAAGTGCATTGACAACTGAAGCTGAAACAGAAATGAGTTAAAATGAAACTTAGTAAAAATACAAGGCTATTTCACTCCTACAATCTGACTCAACAAGGTATGAGCTCCTAAGGCTATTTCAAATCTAAAAGAATATGTTTCCACATGCAAACCAAGTTATAAGAGATATGCCTATCCCCAACTTCTAACCATATAAAAAATTGCAACATCATCAAATTCCAATTTTGAACTCACAATCATCCTCGACACAGTCCAATGAAAAAGACAAGATTGCATATGAAGAAATAGAATAAGATTTTCTGGTCAGTAATGGAAGAACCACTGTGTTATAAAATAAGTGCGCCTGGCTTTGCCTTCACAAGCACTCAATTCTATGCCCAAAAATAAAATTCCAGCAGACGTGGTCAGCATCATAAGTGCACCCCATAGTACAGTAATAACTGCTTATATATTAATTGAAAAACCTTATTGATGCAAAAACGATAATGGAAGAACCCACCACAGAAGTATTAAAAGCGTAGGTTTACTACTAAATATGAATTAGAAGTTGAAGCAAAAGTTATTAACTTATACAAACTAAGAAATAAAGTAATTACAAAAAGTGAGTTGAAAGCAGATATAAAATCCAAGTCATAGCACCTGGTAATAGAAAATCACTTGAAGAGAAGAAACATAACAGTAGTTTAAGTACCTGTGAAGCTTCAATAGATTTGGGCAGGTTCTCCAAGTAAAGCTCCCACTCCTGCCCTTGCCAATCAGCAACTTCATCCTCCCTTGGCATCCTACCAAGCTTAAATTCATTTGCCATTGACACAATCTTTGAATATATACTGGAAACTGGTTCATAGGCATCAGGAGGGATACCAGTACCCTCAGTCCACAATATTAAGTCAACCTCTTTCTCTATTCCAGGTAGGTTTGCTTTCAGAAAATCGAGAAATGTATCGGTATCAATTGACTGGAACTTGAAGGTGGCAATATATTTCTTGAGAAATTCATCAAATGCAGGCCTTCCAACCTTAACATTCCAAAGTAAACGTGTGACAATCAAATCCTCTTTATAGCACAGTATCATGAGGCAAAGAAGTTATAGTATATAATCAACCTACCTGGCGTTCAATGCGCCATAGAAACTGGAAACCTTTTTCATATGGAACTTCAGAATACACATCATCTGGGTCAACTCCTTCCTGGTTGGTTTTCAGCTTTGTGACCTCCAAGTTATCCTTGAACCTCTCCATTTCCTTATTTAAACCCCGCCAACCAATTCCAATGTTTAATGCAGCTCTGTCCTCACCTTGCACAGCCTCAACAATTCTCCTCTCAGCATATGTCGTGAAACCCTGTAACAATAAATAAGGATTAACGCGCTAACCTCACTTCAAGGAACAGCATGCACATTGCAAATCTCAAACATAATCAACCATACCCACAATTAAGCCTACCATACATTCTTTAAATTCTCCTAGCCCAGATATTATACAAATACCCTAGTGTGTTATGCTTCTAGAAGATGGACTATATTTCAAATTTAACAAGATAAATGCTAAAAATTGACCAAAAATGAACAATATGTATGAAGAAATTTAACAAGACTATATTTAAAGTTCAAATGAAGAAAACAAGTATCATAAAGGCAAAAACAAACAATATCCATGAATGTTGTCAATATAAAAGATCAAAACCAACCATGAACCAAAAATCTGAACAAAACCAACCCACTTGAATATGAGATAAAAAAAGATAATGTGATAGTACCTCATTCAACCAAAAATGCTCATTAGTCTTGTTGGTGATCAAGTTCCCAGTCCAGCTATGCGCCAGCTCGTGCGCCACCACCTGCGCGCCGCTCGAGTCGCCTTTGAGCACCGTCGGCGTCAAGAACGTCATTCTTGGATTCTCCATACCACCGTACGGAAAGCTCGGCGGAAGCACCAAGAGATCGAACCTTTCCCACTCATATGGCCCAAACAAGGCCTCCCCTTGCCTGATCATGTCCTCGGTGCTCGCAAACTCAGTCGCCGCCGATTCCAGCACCGCCGGAACCGCCTCCGAATAAACCCTAGTTCTCGGTCCCACCTCCCGGAACCCTAGCTCGCCGACGGCGAAGGCGAACAGGTACGGCGGGATTGGTTGCTCCATCACGAACTCCTCGACGACTCTCCCCTCGGCGCACCACAGTGCGTCGGCGGAGAACAGCGCGGCTCCCTCGCCGGCGATCGGGTCACGGCGGTCCACGTGGCGAGCGGACATGACGGCAGAGAGCTGGCGGGGGACGTTAAGCTTTGCCGCGTAGCGCACACGCGCCGCCGGAGTGTCCTGGCATGGGAAGACGGAGCGCGCGTGGATGGCCTGGCATTGTGTGTAGACAAACGGCAGCGTTTTGTTGAAGGTCTGGGGAGGAGAGAGCCACTGGAGGGCGGAGGAGGAAGGGGAAGTGGAGTAGACGATGAGAAAAGAGGAGTGGTTGGAGAGGGAGACGGTGAGGTGGCAGCCTTTGATTGGGTCAGGAGAGGAGAGGGAGAAAGGGAGGGGAGCAGAAGATTGGGGGTCGAGGACGGAGTGGACGGTGAGTGCACGCGCGTCGAGGGAGAGTGGTCCAGAGTGTGGGGCCGGGAGGGTGAGGAGGGCGGAGGCGTGGATGGTGGAGGAGGGGAAGTCGAAGAAGAGAGAGAGTGAGATGTGGGTGGCGAGTGGGTGAGTCGACTCGGTAAACGAGTGAGGGTCGATTGGCGCCATTGATTTTTAGGGCTAACTGGTGAGTGAGCTCGGAGGAGGAGGAGGAGAGAGTGCAAGCAGTGAAGCGAAGACGTAAATGTTTCGTAAATGATAATGAATATAGAGAGAGAGAGAGAGAGAGAGAGAGAGATATTCGTCGCAATAACTACTTTCTTTTTCTTTTTCTTTTCTTTCTGGGTTTTGCTTTTTAAACTTTGGAGGGAGAAACAGAAGGTCTCATTATTTTATTTTCAGTCAAAATTTGAAACTTTTCTTGCACAAAAGCATAAATTCTCTGCTTCTCTCCCAAGCTGAGTTGTTGAAGTTTGTGAATGGTTATTTTATTTTATATTTAAATAAAGGACATCTCTTTTTCATAAATCTCCATTTCTTTAAGAAATTGAGTATATTCTTGTGGTTTCTTATGCATGGTCACAAGATTCTTGGATCGTATGGGGGGGGGGTATTGGAAAATGTAGTGAGTCCTCCACCTATGAGGCTTGAATTACACTTGAAAAGATTAAGTTAAATAATCACTAAAGTTATATAGACTTCGGGTAGTCCGCCTAAATTTATAAAAAAATCACAAGAACAACTCTCTGCTTATATGACACCTCCGAGTGCAGAGGTTAGGTCATGCTCATGGCTGATAAGAGATGACTCTACCAAAGACACACCCATTCTCTAACCTCCCCACTTTAGGTGACTCATATAACCCGAATGTGAGTATATGGAAATCACATGACGTTTAATCGAGTGTGATTCATTGCGAAGTTGAATTCCAATCGACAATTGCAAAAGATCTAAATTGATATCAAATCTCAAGCTCTTATCGAGCAATCAAAATCATATAAACAACTCTCCCAATAAGGCGACTTAAATTTGCACCTACTCCATTATTATGTATGAGGGATAGTAAATCAAATTACTCTCTCGTCTTCACATCCTTAGGATTAATGGCACGTCATATTAATCAACTACAACCCCATACAAACCAGACAATAACATTGTTATTTTTAGTGTTCGTGCCGATTAGATTTTTCCATCACTAATTTGACATTTTCACGTGACAAGAGAGATAGACATGCACGTTCATTTAAAGGCCCAAAACAAATTTCACAGTGTCAGCCCAGATGATATTTACCGGCTAACTGCACGTCTACACCCTCCAGTGGGGCCCACATTCATCCAATTACCAATTATTACACCCACTGTTCTCAATTCGCCAAATTTCCTTTCCTTCTCTCTGTAGAAGCAAAGCATCGAAGAAAGCTGCGAAATTCAAAACTTTGAGAAAGAGAGGGCGGGTGAGCTCTCTATCCCAATCACATCCTCTCACTCTGAAAACCCTAAATCCTGAAGAACATAAAAGATGGACGACTACACGAGGGAGATGATGGACCTCAAGACTCTGGTCACTCGCACCCTTGAGAAGAAGGGCGTTCTGGCCAAGATCCGGGTACAAATTCCCCCTTTTACCCCTCCATATTTTCCCCATTTCCATGCTTTATCATTTGGATCTCCTCAATATGCATTCATAGCTGATTTGAACCCAAAATGAGGTTTTTTTTCTCTGGTTAATCCTTGAAATGTTGCTTGAGTTTAGTTGACTTTTAGGGTTTTCTAATTTCATGTATGTACCTTTGTCTTGTTTAAGTGGAATTTGAAGCTTCGAGTTTTTGAACGCGATCCCCCATTGTGCAAAATTAGGGGCTGATTGATAATTCTGGATATTTTAGTATTAGTTTGATGTACATGATCAAACTTATTGTTCTTGAGAAATGATTTTTCTGGGTCGTTGGCTGATTTTACTGTTGTGGTAGGCTGAGTTGAGAGCAAGTGTGTTTGAGGCAATTGAAGAGGAGGACAAGGTCATCGAGAAAGAAGAAGGCTTGCCTCCGGCATTGCTTGGTAGCTGCAACGATCGTGCTAAACAGCTCCATGCTTCCCCTTCAGGTTCTTACTTATCCCTTGCTCCTCCTTTGTTCAAGTAAAGTAATTTCATCTTGGCTTCTGCTCTTAAGCTGAATTTCACTTTCACATGCTCTTTGTAGGAAGGTTGCTTACAGCACTAGTATGCGAATACTTAGACTGGGCGCAACTAAACCATACGCTAAAAGTTTATCAGCCTGAGTGTAATTTGGTAATCAAGTATTTTAGTGCAGAAAGTGTCTTGAGTGTCTTGCGTTGTTCATCTTATGCTAATGATTGTTGCTTTTGCTTTTGTCGAATCGCAGCAAAAGGATTCTTGGAAAGCTGAGTTGAAGGACTTTAGTAGCAAGAATGGATATGATCTTAACCGAAATGGGGATAGTGGTCCTTTGCTTTTGGACGTGCTTGAAGGATTTTTGAAATTTGAGGTTTGATATTTTTTGAGTTAAAGCACATAATTTTCAAGTTAAAATGAGAATTTGCAATAGGACTGTAGTCTTACATGGCAATAATTTCTTTGGTTCAAGATACATTTACCTGATTGTTATGTTTTATCACGAAACCGAGGCTGCTAATTGATTTGTATTAATTCTTCTGGACACAGTATAGATTAGTTCACATGATTGAATGACACAGTCTCTCCTGTACCTATGGGCATTTTTTTCCCTTTGTTATAGATCTCTTGATCAGTCATAGGATGGGATTAGTATACAATTTTGAGGTTCTACTAACCAGGGTAAAAAACTTCCTGGCCAAACGACAAAGCTGGGTTGACAATGAATGAAGCAAAAATACAAATTTCTTTAGCTGATCTTTTGTTTGTATTTAGTCCTTTAGCAGATTTCTTATCATTAAATCTTGTTACTACAGAATTTATCTCAAGCAAGGGGTACTGGAAGGAGGCTAGCTACTTCAGAAACAGAGTCCTTATCCAATTTAGACTCTCGCAACATGCGAAGACCTTCTTCATCATCTGTTGCTGGAGGGCTGCCTCCACTAGGAAGGTGCTGAGCCTACATTACTGCTTCAGTATTTTGTATTTACTTTGTCTCGTTTTCCTTTTCTCTGAAACTCTTAATTGATATTAGTTTGTTGGTGTGCTTATTATAGGCCTGGTGCATCTTCCCAGTCATCTGGTGAGTGACAAAGCAAATTTCTTATGCCCTGTCCTTTATCTGCTTGCATTTGTTTCTGTTTAACTGATACATTCTAGCATTCAGATCGAAGAGGTGGGTCGTCCATGTCTAGCTACAGGAAAGATGACTACAATTGGAGATATGATAGTGATGAAAGTCCAGAGGATGTCATTCGAGCTTCGAGTGCCATGGAAAACCTTCAATTGGATAGAAAAGCTCGCAATCTAACCACATCGTGGCGGTATGTTCTGAGCCCCTTTATGTTATATTCACTTTACTAGGAAAAGCTTTCCTTTCAAAGAAAACTGCAGCGATGCAAAATGCTAGAGGGAGATGGATTTTCTATGAGGTTAAAAATCAAAGTAAGGCTATTTAAAAGAAGTCTCTTTCATAGGTGCTTTTATTAAAAGAGAAGTATATATGGCTACATTTTCCTTGTGACATGTCGATCCCACTTTTGTCATTTCAAAACTATGTATAACATTTTGAAACCTTGTGATAAAGGTTCATTTCAAGTCATAATCTGGCAGAAATAGTAGTTCCTGTTCATTGTTTTCTTACCCTTGTCTGCTTGATCTGGCTACAGGCATGCAGGCGATGGAATTAGTGAGGATGAGGGCAGGTCTGATCAGATGTAGGCCGAACAACGACAACCTTTGTATAACTGCACGTGTATTTGATTTGTATTTTATATGTTTAATCCTTCAATCATAGTGGTGTTATGTAAGATTATTACTCTGTATTCCGATTTGGTCTAGTGCTTTGTTCGAGTGTTTTTTTCGTGATGTAATTTCCTTTTTGACCCTTTTTTGAAATCTATAAATTAGCAACTGCATCTTTGCTTGCAAATTTTCATTCTAATGTAATGGTATGAAATTTCATGGAATTGCCGAATCCAGAGGCCTTTTCTGAGATATGCAGGAGCTAAACCCCTCAATGACGCAATATGTCACGTTTGCAATATGACGTGCACATCAAATCCAGATGACAAAGAAAAGCAAGTAAATTCCAACAAAAATTGATAGAATAATAAATTAAAGCTGAAAAGAAAAACATTTATGTACTTTTGACATTTGTGGAGAGCACTGGATTTTATTACACGTGTCGTGGCACATATCTAAGCGCCAAAAACCGCCTGCTACTCTGGCTTCCGGGGGAATCCAAAAAAGGTAAAAATCGAATTTCACACTCCCGTCCTCCTGTCCCCAAACATAAAACCCTCCCCCCACAACCACCCACGCCCCCTCCCCCCTGTCTCTCTTTTTCTGCAGCACAAACAAAAAAAAAAAAAAAAAAAATGACTTTTGCTTCCTCCTATGGCGGTTTTGAACCGCGTTTTTAGATTAAGAGCGGCAAGTTCTTTCTCAGTTCGGAGCTTCCGTTCATCATCTTTTCTAAATTCCGAAACTGACCTCAAGGCGTCTTCCTCTGTCATCGCCCAAAACTCTCTTCCTCTGCAGCGAGACGTTAAGGACAGGAATGCCCAGTGGGTCTTCCTCGGCTGCCCCGGCGTCGGCAAAGGCACCTACGCCTCTCGCCTCTCCACCCTCCTCGGCGTCCCCCACATCGCCACCGGCGATCTCGTTCGCGACGAGCTCTCGTCTTCTGGTCCCTTCGCTCTTCAGGTCCCCCTTCCCTTAGGCCTTAGGGTTATCCCTTTTCTTTGATTGTTTTTTTCTTTTTTCTTTCAGAAATTTTCAATTTGTGAAAAACCCGAACAAAAAAATTGCAGCTTGCAGAGGTTGTGAACCAGGGCAAATTGGTTTCGGATGAGATTATCATAAACTTGTTGTCCAAGCGTCTTGAAGCTAGTGCAGCTAAGGGTGAAACTGGCTTCATTCTTGACGGTTTTCCTCGAACTATTCGTCAGGCGGTAATACCATTTTTTTTCCCATCAAAATTTTGCTTGAAACATACATTGGATGATCTTACTTGGGAGATAGCAAATAGGGACAATATGATCATGCAGGTGTAGATGAAAAAATGTATTTGGAATTAAAGATTTAGTTGAGGTTAGTAGAGTTGAACTATGCACATAAATAATAAACTTATGGTCTTTGAAGGCACACAATTTTATTACTCTATTACCTCCAAATTCCAGCATAGCAGTACTTCTGTCTTGCTTCTTTTGGTTTCAAAGGTTATTGCTTTATGTTTTTTTTTTTTGGTTTAATTTAATGTTTGGGTCAGCAAAATCTGCATTCATCTGTGTTGTCTTTGATAATATGTTTGCTTATGGGAGTCACTTGGTTTTGGGTTATATAGATTCATGAGCAGGCGATGTTCATTGAGCATATTTGTATAAGAAATTTGCATCCCTTCGGGACTTATGTTCATTGAAATTCTGTATGATTATTAGACTCTGAACATCTACCATGTTGTGCAATTTTTCAAAAATCCTGAATTAGTGGGAATTTCCTGGTTTTTATGACCTCTGGAGGACAGTCCAAAATTTGAAATTGATTTTAAAGGATGCTCACTTCACCAAGTAGTTTGAATTTCTTTTCCTTTATAATGGCTCCAGTGGCTACACAAAGAAGAGTAGGCATTGACTTAGTGCCCTTAAATTGGCAACAGAGCTTATTGTATGATAAAATAGAATATTCTCATGTCCCATTAATTCAGCTTCCCTACCGTTCCCCCTCCCCGCCTCTCAAATATATTTTACCTCTGTGGTTATAACTTGCCTTCTAAGTTTTGATTGGTTTACAGGAAATTTTAGAGGGAGTAACAGACATTGACTTGGTGGTCAACCTAAAGCTTCGTGAAGAGGCTCTACTTGCAAAGTGCCTTGGAAGAAGGATTTGTAGTGAGTGTGGAGGGAATTACAATGTGGCATGCATTGACATTAAGGGTGAGGATGGGAAGCCTGGCATGTACATGGCTCCACTTCTTCCCCCTCCACATTGTGCATCAAAGCTTATCACACGATCCGATGACACTGAAGAAGTTGTGAAGGAAAGACTCCGGATATATAATGATAAGGTATTGTTTCAGCATCTTGGGATGCTATTTTCACTCCTTTTTAAGAAGTCAGCCAAATAGTTTAGAAGATTTATTTTAAGTTTGAAATATATTAATAATAATATGACTGAAGCACTGCTGCCCATAATATACTCCCCATTCTTCCTGCTTAGGATTGATACCTCAGAGACTGTTCTACTTGGCATGCTCTTTGTTACTGTATTAATTCTTGCATTAAGTGTCCAACCATGCTTACTAAAACAATCTTCTCCATGCATGAGAAGATTGCTTTGTCATTATTGATCCATTGGAACAGCATCGAATTGCTTTGTCATTATTGATCCATTGAAACAGCATTGGCTAATAGATGGACCTTCTCCTTGTTGAACACATTTGGAAACTGGCCAATCAATACTTATTTATGTCATTAGTCTTTTTGTAACAACAGTCTTTAATTTTGGTTCAATTTGTAATTTGTGCGTCACATCATGTTGTCCTTGCAGAGTCAACCTGTGGAGGGGTTCTACCGCAGTCGAGGAAAATTGTTAGAGTTTGATCTTCCTGGAGGGATTCCTGAGTCCTGGCCAAAGCTGCTTCAGGCTTTGAATCTGGAAGACCATGAAGACAAACAGTCTGCAACCGCATGATTCGTAATTCTGTAACATATACACTTTAGACAAGTTAGTTTTCCATTAGATAAGCCAAATCATTCTTTGCATGTCCTGGAAGCAGATGCATATAATTTAAATTTGAAAGGGAAAAACTTCTATGTGCAATAAAAAACAGGAGCTGCCCCCCATTTATCTATAATTATATAGCATCCTATTGGGGTTTCAGAGTTATGTAAAATGGGTATTTATATTGTATTGTTAGTTATGTTGTTTGTTTGGAAAAATGGTTAGATTATAATGATTATTTTTGTGGGCATTAAAGTTTCATTGCACCACAAGTTTGCCATTATTTTTATGAAATGTACAGATTCACCTGTCTTTCACATCCAATATATCATCATCCATCCATCATTTTCCAGTTTCAACTGTCTTTTCAATCCTCAAATTTGGAAGGAAATGTCTCTGTGCACATGTTTACCACATGCTTGGCTCGTCATCTTCCCCTACAAATCCCAATCATGTAGGGAATCAAGATTTGCAGAGTATGAGTGGGCAGTTAAATGCTCGTGCTTTTAACCAAACCGCCCGGCTTTACTTTTCTGACACGTGGCACCTATGTGACGGGGCCTTTTTTTTTAATATATAAATAGTATAGCCGCTCGGCTATACCTTTTAAAAAAATAAAATAAAATTGTTTTTCCTTTTTTAAATTTAAAAAACATATAATTGGTTTCTTTACTTTTGTTTTTTAGCCTACTTCTTTATTTTAATACATGTAATTAAGTAACATCTTAGCCTTTTTGAATTACTTTAATTAGTAATTATATTTTAATTATTAATTAGTATAAAAAATTATAGAAAAAGTCCATAAAATAATTAATTTCTATTTTACTAAGTCTTTTGTGAAATCGTTTGGGTGTCCTAATTAAATTTCTCCATGGCCCAAGAGTCCTATCTATTACTATTAGGCCATTACTCGAGCATCTATTGTCCCTTTTTCATTTTTTACTTTTCTAGAATTATTACACGTATAAAGATTCTAGCATCTTCGCGTTTAATAATGTATTATATATGTACGCACATATTTGTCTTCTTTAATACATCCATTTTTTACAAGAATTTCAACAAGACACACAAAATTCATGTATTATACACATAATTCTCACATACTGTTGAATGAAAATAATATACATACTTTTAAGACCGTATAGCCGAACGGCTATGCTCAGTTTTTCCCTAATTGTCTTTAAAAATGGTATAGCCGGCCGGCTATACTCCTTTTTTGAAAAAATTTAAAACGAAAATAGTATACGTGGTGCATATGCCCTGTGCGTGTCTTTATATACGTGTATAAATAGTATAGCCGACCGGCTATACTAGATTCTTTTCTATTTTTTCAAAAAGAAATAGTATAGCCGCACGGCTATACTAAGTTTTTCCCTCAGTTTTTCTTTACTTTTGTTTTTTGCCCTACTTCTTTAATTTAATACATGCAATTAAGTAACATCTAAGCCTTTTTGAATTACTTTAATTAGTAATTATAGTTTAATTATTAATTAGTATAAAAAAAATTATGGAAAAAGTCCACAAAATAATTAATTTCTATTTTACTAAGTCTTTTGTGAAATCTTTTGGGTGTCCTAATTAAATTTCTCCATAACCCAAGAGCCTTATCCAATACTATTAGGTCATTACTCGAGCATCTATTGTCCCTTTTTTATTTTTCACTTTTCTAGAGTTATTACCCGTATAAAGATTCTAGCACCTTTGCGTTTAATAGTATTTCTCATCTTTAATACACCTGATTTTTACAACAATTTCAATAAAACACAAAATTCACATATTATACAAATAATTCTCACATACTATTGAATAAAAATAATATACATATTTTTAAGAAAGTATAGCCCTATACTCAGTTTTCCCCTAATTGTCTTTAAAAATAGTATAGCCGGCCGGCTATACTTCTGTACCGACACGAAAATAGTATACGTGGCGCATATGCCCTGTGCGTGTCTTCATATACGCTTATGAATAGTACAGCCGGCAGGCTATACTAGATTCTTTTCTATTTTTCAGAAAGAAATAGTATAGCCGCACGGCTATACTCAGTTTTTCTTTACTTTTGTTTTTTGGCCTACTTCTTTAATTCAATACATGCAATTAAGTAACATCTAAGCCTTTTGAATTACTTTAATTAGTAATTATAGTTTAATTATTCATTAGTATAAAAATATATATATTATGGAAAAAGTCCACAAAATAATTAATTTCTATTTTACTATGTCTTTTGTGAAATCGTTTGGGTGTCTTAATTAAATTTCTCCGTAACCCAAAAGCCCCAAGGCCCAAGTCTTTGATTAGTAGTATTATATTAGGGAGTTTCACTAAAACACCCAAAATGGGGGCTGAAATTATAAAAAAAACCCAGCACCCAAAACACTTTATAAACACACCCAAAACCCATCATTACACACACTCAAAACTCATTTATAAACACACCCAAAAAATATACAATTGTTGATTTTAGAGTTGATTTTGGGTGTGTTTCTATGTTTAAATAGTGCTTGGGTTTTTTTATAAATACATGTCTAGGATTGGGTTTATTTATAAATTTGTATTATTATTATTAATGAAAGCCTAATTCAATGCCAAGCCTATTGGCCCAACTCTCCAATGTTAACCACACTTGGGAAAACGTCATAGTGCTTTGTTTGTAAACACCTTTAGAGGAGTGTAGATTTTAATGTGGGATTTCCACAAAAAGCACCTCAAAAGGTAGGCCTATTCTTGCATCTATCGACCCTGATATTATTTGGCTTCTTATAGCTGATGTTTACCATTCTCTAATGAAAAAATACATGGCTTCACCTCCCACATCAGACATACCTGAAATCCTACAAATTGCGCCCCATCCTCATCTTCAAAAGAGTACCTTTTTGTGCAGTATGGAGGGCAGAGTTATGGTTTCGAGGTTGACTTCCATTCTTTGTAAATATCGGAACCAAATGAAAAAGATACCGCACAAATTTTGCCTTGCCTTGATAATGACCAGATGAGCTGGAAGGTTTACACCCCATGCCAATGGGCAGGTACAAACCAATACCTATAATTTTCCATGACGGGCTCTTGATGGTTGCTGCTTCCTTGATCTTCACTTTGTTTCCTGTCTTGGCCGTTTTGAGCAGTGCTTTCATGCTCCTTTCCCTTTTCATAGGAAACAGCAACCTCTTTGCATTCGGCTATGGTACAGAGTTTGAACTCTGCCCCACTTCCATTTGTCTTCTAGCTATACCATACTACCTCTTTCTTGATTCTTCTAACCTGTTACCTGATAGGATAGCCTTCTCCAATGAAACTTAAATATGGTATTTTGTTATTCAAAACTGGCATTTGCACCATTAGATGGTTTGAATAAAGTATTTGTCATGGCCTTATTGCCTTTGTTGATTTTGGGATCCTTCCTGTTTTGATGTTCGTTTCTTTTTGGATGGATTTGACCTCATGCTGAGACTCGTATATAAAAACTTCATACACAAGATGGTATACATTACAAGGGCCAAGGGTCAGAAGGAGCCAACCCGTGCCTTTGGATGATAACGTTAATCAGTTCCCCTTCCTGTTGGCTTCTCACAGAGTTAGTCTGAAATCACATGTTCTGCAGAGTTAGCCTGGAATGACGTCGAAATTCATGGCCGCCCTTATGTTATGTCTCCACCGAAAGAGAAGATAAAGCCAAATCATACATCAATTGAATTTGTACTTGCATGCCATGACAACATCTCCCAATCTGTATGTATGTAAAACAAACACATCTGAATGCTGGTAACAATATAGTACAGAGAGATAGAGATAGGGTGATATATATTCTGTATGTGGAGAGAGAGAGAGAGAGAGAGATTATATGTGTATTGTGGTTTTCACAGGTTTCTTGGCCTGCAAAAGCAAATCCATTTGTAGCAATGTGAACTCTTAAGGGAGAAACGAAGTAAGGGAGAAACAAAGTATACAAGAAAGAAAAGGGTAGGGGGTTAAGACCTAATTAACACTTTCCATTTCTGAGATGGGAGTGAAGAAGAAGAAGAAATAAATGTGGTTCGATGGCTGGCTGCCCATATGATTGGCTGGCCTAACTTAGCTTACCCTAGTCTTAGTCTAGTACGTCAGTCAGGCAAGCCTTACAAGCAAACAACGTGATCCTAATAGGCAGTCCATTTGAATGTGATTGTGTTTCTCACGTCATTTTTTTATTTTCGAGTTTGAAAACTGCTTGTGAGCTGAACTCTGAGTGAGTTCTGGTGCTCGTCATTCTTCTCCCGTATCCAAAACTGGATTGACTTAAAACATAACAAAATAAAATTAGGCCCAAAAGACAATGAAGTCTAGCCCAGTGAAAAAGGGCATTGACTTACAGATCAATGGTCTCAAGTTCGATGTGTGTGTGAGAAACCCCCCTCCTCATGTAGCCACCGCCACTGAATTCGGCTTGCAAATATCCATTAAAGTAGGATGCAGAATAACAAAATGGGAAAAGAAAATTCTAAGCATTTCCATTAAAAAAATTAGAGTTACAGCCTTCAAAGTAACAAAGCAATATTGTATCAAACTACTTGTCTTCTTGTAGTTGGATCTCCGAGTATCATTACGAAGGGACACGAGTCTCCACAATAGTACAGAACCCTAGTGAGCAGGTAAACTCTTCCTCATTACTTGGGAGCCTCAATTGCTATGTTCACCCACAATTTGAAATTCCTCAAGCATAAATGGTCTTCAAGTCCTGCTTCCAGGATAGAAATATTCGACACTGTTTTCCTTTACTTTGAATTGGAAATTAGACAGCTTGTTTCTTGATCTCTCCTTCCCACTGTTCAGGACTGTCAACTGCAACCAACAAGAACAATGAGGATCATAACTTTCGTAATCTCGTTCAATTGTATGGATATCAAAACCATTAAGATGAGACTTTTGGGAAGTAATTCTAGACAGGAAAAGTACACTTGCTACAAGCGTAATTGGCAGGTCACCAGCAGCAAGCCAGCAAGCAATACTAATGGAAATAGTTCTCACAATTTTTCAATTGCTAACACAGGATTGTGATCTAGTGGACTCGGCGGAGAAGATAAGACAGGTAAAAGAGAAGAGAACAAGAAAATCCAGAAAAAGGACCATGACACAAAGCAACTATCATATGTATGATCATACACTTGAAAAAACAAAACTAAATATCAACCAGAGGATCAGCAGAGCATATGAATATGTTAAAAGTTTTAAGTAGCAGATTATTCATTTCCATAACAACCAAGACTCAAAAAGTAAGTAACCACAAATGACGAGAGGGGTCCATACATGAATGATTTGACAGACATACTTTCTAGTTTCTAGCAATCTATGGTGAAGAGATGCATCAAATGAAAAAAAACATGGGTGAAAACCAGTGAACTCACTATAGGACTGTTCAAATGAAAGGAAATAGACTCTTGCTTTTTCCATATTAGAGAAGCTATTTTACAGAAAATTCAATCTGGTGAAGTGACAAAATGTGTTCCAGCAAATACCTGCCCATGCACATCTGATGCCAATCCAGTGGCCAATGGTTCTGCTCTTATCAGAATGTCTGCTAGATACTCCATCTGTAAAATAAGGGAGGGCCTCACCGTGTCTGAATATATATCATCATGATTGAGCATGACTAAGGAACAACCCTGCAATACGAAAAGGTACACGAGATGAATAACTGAAGATAAGGTACACGAGATGAATAACTGAAGAAAAAGGAGTGTGGCATGAAAACCGGAGAAAATGACTGACAGATGCCACTGATGTCTTACAAATTCTGATACTAAAGTGTGGCAGTAATGAAGAAAGTCTAAAACAAGATTTGTAGATCCCTTAGCAGCCACCTCCATCAGAGAGATATCATCAATCATAACAGTGATACAGTTCTGGTTCTCTTGAGGTAAGGCACTTATAGTCTTTTGGATTTTCCCATACAAAGCAACAAGTCCACCATCACTGTTTTTTCCTTCTTCACCATCTGAAGATGAAAAAACGGAGGATTTCTTGTAAGAAACTAAATTACAAAACCAGCAATACTAACAATTCTTACATTTTTCTTTGAAAGGAGAAAAAAAAATTCGATTTAACGAACTGGAACTATGGTTTATAACTTAATATCAATCCCGCACTGATTCCTACATTGTTACAAATTCAATTGCATACTGAGCAAGTATCTAGCTTTTCTACTTTGATAGCCAATACTAGCGAGTCTTATACCTGATTTTCTCACCTGGGCAATCGACAAGCACGTCAAAGAAAAAGAATCTGTTATTGTCCCTTTGCACAACTAAGTTGCAACCCTGTTTCAAAAACACATCCAAATATAAGATATTTTCATTCATGCTTATCTGAACATTTCATCTGATAAACATGAAACCACGAGAACTAATGATAATTCATAACAAAAATGAAATGTAAATTAACACGGATATTAGCAGCGATAGATAAAATTACGGAAATCACTTTAAAAAGACTAATTCTTTGTGAAGAGAGAGGCAGTACCAGTCTTCGGAGGATCCGATCGTAGTGAGAGAAGGGGTGAGCGAAGGCAACAAAAACGACGACGTTGGAGGAGTGAGGAGGCTGAGAAAGAGAGCGCTTGAGAATGTGGTGCAGGACGAAAGCGGCACTGGTCTCGACGCAGTCTTCGAGGAGAACAACGCGACCACTGAGATGGAGAGACCCAAGAGCTTCGTCCAATAAGGTTCCTTGCTCCATTTTCCTCTTCTTCTTCTTCTTTCAAGCTAAAAAGCACTGAGCTTTAGGGTTTAGGGTTTGTGAATTCGTGATTTCAACGGTTTCTTTGATTTCAACGGTTTTTGGCTTCTCAAACAGTGACGTTATTTCACCCGCGCCTATACATAGATAAATAAATAAATAATGCGGTTGGGCCGACCGAGTAAAATCTCCATTTTGCTGAGGTGGCAATTTTTGACTGTTCGACCCACTATACAGTCCTCCCTAAACCCTTTCTAGGAGATAATTTATGGAGCATTATCATGAAATAAGACAAGTGCTAAAGTGAGAAACCATCCGTCCAGGGGTAAAACAGTAATTAAGCTCTTTTTAAAATTAAATTTTTTTTTAATTCCAGTCGCATTATCATGAAAGCAAACCAAAGGCAAGTTAATCAAATAAACTTGGAGAGTTTTTTTAATTCAATCTTGACATGAGATAAAATAACTAAGATGAATCAATTCAGAAAGAGCATACCACAAATAAATGTTTGTGGGAAAATGGTCAGGATAGCGCAATACTCTTACATCAAATCTGCATATAAATCAATAGTGGAGTCCGATTGGTTTAGTCTAATTTTTCTTTAATATTTTTTAAGGATTTTTATCACAAATAGTTCATGAGGTTTGCCAAATTATAATCTTTGATCCTTTATATGTTTTTTTTGCCCTTTATGTTACACCTCACCCATCAAATTAATATCGTTGTGAAGTTCTATCAAATTTTCTGTTAAATTGATGACGTGACACATATATGGTGTCCACATATCTAATGATTTTTTATTTTTTATAAGGAGCAGGAGGGGTTTGTTACAGCGATGAGAGTAGGTTTGCATAGAGACTTGAATTTTTTTTTCCTTCAATTTCTATTTAATTTGAATTTTAAAGTTTGTAAATAGCTAAATTACTAAATGCCCATGTTACATCAGCACATTTAACAGTTTTGTAGACGAAAATAACCGAAATGCTAAAGTGAGAAACCATCCGTCCAGGGGTAAAACAGTAATTAAGCCTCTTTTTAAAAAAATTTATTCCAGTCGCTTCTCCCTACTTCTTCTCCTCCTTATCTCTCTCTTCTTTTCCCGACTCAGCTTCTTCTTCTTCTCTCTGTCCTCTTCGTGATTGACTTCCTTCTTCTCCTCTATCTTCTTCTTTTCCTCTCTATCTCAGATCTGGAAAGATCTCGACGCCTCGCAGCCGCACCTCGCCGTCCCATCTTCTTCTCCTCTCTGTCAGTGTCTCGCCGAACACCGAACCAAACCACATCGAGAAATCGGCGCGCCGACCACATCGGTTTCAAGAGCTTCGGTCCGGCGTGCGGTCTCAGAAATTGACAATCCGTGGCCTTGGGTTCGACGCTCGGTGGAGGCTCAACACCGAACCAAACCAGAGCGAGCCCAGGCCTAGTTCAAATGGCAGGTCCTTACTGGGTTTCAAAACACTTTCTCACTAATTTATTGTAATAAATCTCTCTGTGTGACTGAGATTGCACTAGACACATTCATTTTAGTACTTTTTGGTAATTAATTGCATGCAGATGCAGTCCTCAAATTCCAGGAGAGATTTGGATGCTGGGGTTTAGGGTGTGACTCGTGAGAGTTTACCTGATGACGTCATCTGAGATAAAATCTGGGGCATTGGTTTCATTGCAAGACCTACATCCATCTTCCTCTTATTTCAAGCAAGGGGCTTCGTTGAGAGTAACTGGAAAGTAAGACTTTTGCCCTTTCAATGCGCTTTAGTGGTTTCATTCAATTGCATTATATAAAATATCCAGTGTTTCTTCTTTTACTTACTTTTCAGTTACGAATATCCTCCCTGAATCAATTCTTACGTTTTCATTGTCTTTAACTTGGAAGGTTCTCTTAACTGTATTTGTAGATTGGCTGAGTAGGGTACAAGTAGTTAATAGTTTAGGCTGGCTTTGTTGGTCTTGGTGACAGTGTTGGTATCATAAACTGATGGGTTCGAGTGGTAGAAAGAAAGATGAAGCAGAGGTGGAATTGCTGATACAGACATTGGATATGTGATAATTTCAGCATTTCGTTTCGGGTTCTGTCACAGTATTTCTTGAAACGATTCTAGTCTAGTTTTGGTTCGTTGAGAATATAATGATCATGGTATAATAGTGTTGGAGTGGATGCAGAACTGGCCAAAAAGATCTTCTGGAGGCAAATGTGGCATCTCCAGTTGGTGGCATTGAGGCACATTGGTAGCATGATGTGGATGGAGTGAGTGTAATGCTTGGAAACATGTCACTACTACAAAAAATAATTGGCAATAGGTCAAATGATTCAAATAATTGTGGATTGTTACATAAGAGGGCTGGATGATTGCTTCGCTTCATTGAATTTAATTGTATTTCTCATATTTATTCTCCAATATCATTAAGAAGCTTAGTCATTAGTATCTCTTGTTTTTTTTCTCAGGTTACAAGAGTATTCTGTAGAGACAGCCATTGCCACAATTATTGATGGAAGTGACAGCTTAAAAATCAACACCCAACACCTCAGGGAGCTTAGCTTTCGAGTCGGATCCATCTACCAGTTCATCGGCGAGCTGCTTATTCAACCCGATAATGAGGTAAGTGAGTGGCAAATTACATCCACCTGATGATTTTCAGTGCTGGGATTCATCCCAACACACGAATGTTATGTTAAATATGTTAGAGCAATAAGCTCAATTGCTCTTGCTCTTTTTTCAGGCAGTCTTGCAGGCACGTGTGGGTAGGAATGTTGATGGCATTGATCTCAATCTCTATTATCAGTCTCTCCAATTGTTGAGGCAATTTCAGGCTCATCATTTGAAGAACCCAGCAACTTAAAATATTGTAATTTTAAAGTCAATTTAAAGACCAAATTACCCTCATCGTCCAACCCATCAAATCAAACAATGCAAATTGAAATCGTAATGGCAAAAAGGTCAAAGCCAATGGCCCAATGATCACTTCATAATTGAACCCAAACGAATATATTTAATCGGGCCCTCAGATTTTTCATGGATTTGACCTTCCAGTTAAAAGCTTTTGAGTGTATTTTTAAATATTCTTTTATTTAATCATTATCATTCGTGAGATTTGAATTTGAGATCTCTATTTTGTTGGAGGAAATCAAATATTGTTGTACCAAATGATCGTTGGCTAAAAAGTTCAAAATCGAAATTTGCAAGGGTTTATAGTTCAAATAATTATGAATAATTATCCTTGCATTGGACGGATTTAATTCTCCTTCTCTCAATATCGTTTCTAAATGTAACAACAGAAAAGAAAGCTCAAAGATATTATTTTGGTTTCTTATCTTCCTCCTCTAAAGTCAAAGTGATGATGAAAAAAGTAGGTAATACTCGGGCTCAACGCGGACCTAAATAGTCACACTGTCGTATTAGTCCAAGCAATTCCAACGGACACGTAGCCCAAGATTCTATCATTTTATTCATAGCCCAGACAATTATTAATTTTACTTTTTTTTTTTTTTTTTTTCTTTTTTTTTTTGGGTTTAGTAAAACTTCAAATTACGATTCATTTGAATTTAAAACTTGGAAAAACGCGGTTAGACAAAACTTGCTCTTACAAATCACTCATATCATGGACCGCTAAAGTCATGCCGAAAAGGATGTTTCTGAAATTGACAATGAATTTAATTCCCATTTTATCCTTACAATTTAATTTATAAATCAACATGAATTTTGATATAAATATAATAGAATTGGTTTGATGTACCAAAATCCTAATTAAAAAAATATGCTTACCATCCATAATTAGCTGTCATTAGTATTTCTTGCTAATTTTTATTTATTTATTTGGCCAGCACTATTTCTAGCTTAGACGTGATTACCATCCACATAATTCATTAGTGATAATTCAAAAATAAAATAATTATTCCTAATTGTGTATGCCTTTTTTTTTTTCTTTAAATAATTTTCCTAGTTGGAATCAACTTTGGAGTTAAGTGACTAGAGTCAAAGTGAAAAAATGGAAAACTTTTTAGACTCTGTCGGAAGACATGCAATTTTCGAAAGACAAAAGGGTATCTTTGCAAAAAGGGTTCATGAATGAAAAGTTATATAGTGGAATGAATAGCGTCTCTGTGAATTTTTAACCAACTCTGCCTCTCAAGTAGTATTTGAGGTAAGGAGGTAGAAGAACAAGCCATGAGTTGGTTCCTGTGTTCTGGCAAATCAAGCAAAAATGCAAAGAAGAAGAAGCAGAAGAATAATCCAGAAGATCAGATCCCATCAATTTCAGGTATCTCCATCAACATTTGCCGGACATATTTTGGAACACTTCCAAACTCTCAATCTACAGTTTTTATCATTGACACGTTTAAAGAGTTAACCTTTATGAGTCAATTGAATGCATTGTTTACCACATCAATTTACTTTGGATGAATGCAGGAATGCCGTCTTTATAATAGCTTGAATCTTAAATATGTGCGATCCTTTTTTATTGTCATTTTTTGGATGTGGTTTTTATCACCCTTATTGGGTATATGCATTTGTTGGTATAAGCTAATGTGGGTTTGTTGTCAATTGGTTTTTGGAATTTTGAGTTAGATTTGCTTTGGTTGTGGTTTCTCCCCGTTTGAATAGAGCTCTGTGCCATAGTTCTTGGGTAATGAATTATTTTCACTGTCAAGTTCTGTTCTTTACTGCACAGGCGCTCTACTGCTACGGACCCTTTCGTTTAATAAAAAGTGTGTGTGTGTGTGTGTGTGTGAGAGAGAGAGAGAGAGAGAGAGATTATGATAAATTATTGCCTCAGTTGCTCTTAGTTTCATTTCCTTGAAACCCACTTATTTGGATTATGGAAAATTTAATTTTCCACTGGTTATGAGTTCCAATCTACTCTACTTCTTCATCAGTTTTGATTGATAGGCATGCATTGCTTTAGAACAAGTTTCTGTGGTGTTTTGCTATTTTGAGTTGAACGCTGTTGATGGAAGTACGTGGATAATGTTTATGATGATGAATTGCCCGTTTTGTATCATTGGAAATAGCTAAGCTTAGATTCTTGCCGCTACATGTTTTGTCTTTTGTGAATCTCGTTCTCTTTCAAAACTCTCAATGATGTTCGTATGACTTTTTTGGATTATAATGTAATCCCTGTTTCTTTTGGATTTTATTGCACAGTATACTGTTTTTGTATTGTTTTATTTACTTTTTCCTTTTGTTCTTTCACGTAGAACAACTGAAGGCAAATTCAGCACTGTCTGTAAAGGACTCTAAGGATGGAGGGTCTGATCACATTGCAGCACATACATTTACATTTCGTGAATTGGCAGCTGCAACAAAGAATTTTAGAGCAGATTGTATTTTGGGAGAAGGAGGTTTCGGTCAAGTATATAAAGGGCGCTTGGAGAGTACTAATAAGGTTCTTTACAAGCTTTGACCATCAACTGCATGAAAAGTTATAGTACCTTTTTTTCCTTTTTAAAATTTTATTATGCCTCTCATATCCCATGTCCAATTGGTGGTTTAACAATCTCACCTGAATTTTAAGATTTCTCACTGGCATTGTAAATTTTTGTTTTAAAATTAAAATGGATTACATTTTTGGGGTTCAGTATATATCTGTATATAGATCCTTTTCTAAAATATCTATTCAATATATATGCTGTATCTTCCATATTAAGTTTGTTGTGTGCTTTGAGTAAGTAGAATGTGGCAAAAGATAACCGAATTTAAAGTCATATTTTTTTGGTAAAAAACTATGGTCTTATGTAAAACTGAAAAGGTTAAGTGTTTGTGGCAAGCCTAAATCTGGACGTTCTCCAATTTAAGAGGCTCCAGTTCGCTTTCAGTCCGTGCAGATAACGTGGATATACACAATAATAATCTTTGTTTAGTTAGTGCAATATGTTGTTGGGTTGGTTTTGTTTGCTGTGGGATTCTATCTACTTTCATTGAGATTTTTACCGTGAGTCTTAAAAGTTCTTTTGTTGTTGTTTCTCTGTGTTATGATATCTTTGTCTTTATATGCTAAGCTTTTGGTAAGCGCTGAACTTGTTCCCTTTTGTGTAGGTAGTGGCCATAAAGCAACTTGATTCCAATGGGCTTCAAGGGAACAGGGAATTCCTTGTTGAAGTATTAATGTTAAGCCTACTTCACCATCCCAATCTTGTTAACTTAATAGGCTATTGTGCTGATGGTGATCAGAGGCTTTTGGTATACGAGTACATGCCGTTGGGATCTTTGGAAGACCATCTACATGGTATATACAGCAGTAACAGCACTAGATTCAATTATTTCTTTGCCCAAAGTTCATTATTTTGGTCTTGAGGTCTCTCTCTTTGTACTTGGTGATAAATTGATGTAGACATACTATAATTGGGTCTTGCAATAGTAAAGATTCAAAGCTATAGAAATCAGTAGGATTTGACAATTATAGAACTATTTAAATTAACTGTATGAAAAATAGGAAAAAAATTACTGTATAAGATAATTCTGGAAATTATCCAAAATCATTTAATCATGCTCTTCGTAAGGTATGGAAATCTTGCAAGCTAACCAGTTAGCCATGTTGTGGAATATTCAATGTGTCAGCGGACTCAGAGTATGGGGCTTGAGCACCATTTTTATTTGTCTACCTTCTATTTGGTATCAGTAATGTTGTTAATCACCTCCTTGATCTCACATGCTGATATATGCCAGATCTACCACCAGACAGAAAACAACTTGACTGGAATACAAGAATGAAAATAGCTGCTGGTGCTGCAAAGGGCTTGGAGTATTTGCACGACAAAGCTAACCCCCCTGTTATTTATCGTGATCTTAAATGTTCAAACATTTTACTTGGTGAAGGCTACCATCCTAAGCTCTCTGATTTTGGCTTGGCAAAGTTAGGTCCTGTAGGAGACAACACTCATGTTTCCACTAGGGTGATGGGAACCTATGGATATTGTGCGCCTGAATATGCAATGACTGGTCAGCTCACATTGAAATCAGATGTATACAGCTTTGGGGTTGTTCTTTTGGAAATCATTACTGGAAGAAAGGCAATTGACAATTCAAGGGCTGCTGGGGAACACAATTTGGTTGCATGGGTAAGAGAGTTATGCCTTCTGCTCTGTTTTAATATTTTTGTTTCTAAAATCATTTTCAGGAGTAAAGTTTTGTTTCTTCGTTATATATGCTTTCAATGTATTTCACATTCAATTTTTAGATTAGTATTCTGTCGCGTTCTTATATTGGAGATCTTTCTAATTATATACCTACTTTCTGTTTTGGTAACAGTTTGAGTTTAGAATGTTATGCAACTGTGCTATGAGTTTCGATTTTCTCAATTTGAAATATGGTATATGCAATATTGACCTACTAGACGGTGTGTACTAAAACTAATCTATTGGCAACACTCAAAACGAATTTCCTTATGAGTTAACCCTAACAAGTAACAGCTGTACTATTTTACGAGTGAAAGCAACAATGGGAAGAACAAGCTATTTCTTGCTAAATGGCAGTCTTGCGAATTTCTGCTCCTTCACTCTTTGTTGCAGGCCCGCCCCTTGTTCAAGGATCGGAGGAAATTTTGGCAGATTGCTGATCCACTGCTCCAAGGTCAGTATCCGGTGAGGGGAATGTATCAAGCTCTTGCCGTTGCTGCAATGTGTGTCCAGGAGCAGCCTAATATGCGACCTCTCATAGCTGATGTTGTCACAGCCCTTACTTACCTTGCTTCCCAAAAATATGATCCTGAAACGCGGTCAGTACAGAGCTCTCGCACAAGCTCATCCACTCCTAGACCTAGAAGGGAACTGTGAAGTTCACAAGGGAAGACTTATTTGATACAGTTCCGTGATTGGAAGGTTGTGATGAGAACCTAGCTGTGGCACTGCTTTAGGCTTTTTTTCTTTCTTTCCAAAATGGGGTTTTATTTGTGATTCAGAAGTCAATTGGTTGGAGCTTAGTGGTATGCTTTGTTGGCTGTACATGAAATGGTGCCTGCTTATCGAATTTTGCTCACTCCGGTAGCAGGTGCCGTGGTGGCGCTCCCCCTTCCTGTTTTTCTTTCCTCCTCCACCCTTTTCCTTCTGTCACCTTATACAAGATTCTTTTTATGTACAATTGTGCAATGGGGTTTTGTATCTATATAGAAACTGGTATCCCATAGTCACAGAAATTTATCCAAATTATTTTATAGGAATTTTACTGATTTGGTGAATGAATGGCCTCGTCCTTTGCCAACAAGTAGGCGTACAAATCACTTATCTTAAAGCTTTTTTTTGGTCATAGCACTCGTCTTAAAGCTTGAGTTGCAAAGTCTTTAGAAAATTGTGTGGTGCGTGCCTAACTGCTCACTGCACCATTGTTTTATGTCAATTTTACCCCTGCTCAAAATTAGTGAACATGGCATTATTTGAAAAACATTAAAATTGCTTTAAAACTTATTTAGATGGAAAAAAGCATTGATTTGCAGACTAGTGGTTGTTTGTATTAAAAAAAAAGGAAAATTAGTTTTCTCGAAGAGATAAATTGAACAAAATTTGTTCACTGCACCAACTTTTTATGAGTTTTATCCCGGTTCGAAAAATGTAAGGAAATTTTGAAGAGAAATTGAATTGTTTTTTCAACGATGTTATAACGGACAAAGTAAAAAATATGAGATTCAATAGGCTCATTTGAGCTTGATTATTAGTTTATTTTATCATTCTTTTTGTTCAGAGAGAGGGAAAGCAACATAATCGCTATTATTAGAAAAACCCTCGTATTAAAAGGTGAATACTAAAAACTGTACGTTTATCTGATTAAAAGAAAAAGATACTGTACGCTTAGAAAAGTGTCATACAAATACATTTGACGAAGATTATACACCTATGTAAACCATATCATCAATATTTTCTACATTTTTTTCCTCCCCCACTACATGATTATTACCACTACTTAATCAACAATCAAACAATGAATGGATAAAATTGGTTTCTCTATCGAAAAATTACAGACGATGAAAGAAATCAAAACTATAGCTCCCTGGACTGACAGACACAGAAGGCATACTATCAAGCTTTGCACATGAGAGTACTACTATCGGGGCAGCAAACATCTATAGGGATATATCAATACAGCCTCTGCTTTGATCTGCTCTACTCTTTATCTTCCGCTTGAAGGCAATTCGTCTCTTTTACCTCTGCGGTGGGACTCTCTCCCTCACTGATAGACTTGCTGTCATTTGGCTCCTCATTGTTAGCAGGTTTTCCCTGTTGCATTCAACAGGTGATGTAATCAGTCAAACAGCTCTATCAATCGTATTCTCCTTTTGTTGCTTTCACACAATAGTTAGAGTTCAAGAGTGTAACCTTGTTGCGATCACGCCAGCCAAGGCCAAATGGTCGAGATAGCAAACTGATCTTTCTTGCAGGGAACTCTTGTGTCTGGTCTTGATTGGTTTGTACAGGTAAAGATAGAGATCTGCCAGACAACCATTTATTTTTCAACTAAACATACCAATTTCAACTACTGAGGAACAAAACCACGCAAATCTGATTTTATTTTAATTTGTGTTACCATATGATTATGGCTTGTATAACTGTGTATCTTTTTAAATGAGCACCATTTACATATCTAGGTGTTTTAACCTATGTTGAAGAGGGAAAAAGTGTTGAAAAATAATTTTCGATTTTTAAGAGGAATATCATTTCAAATAAAATGAATATTTGAAATATCAATAGAGAGATTAATAATGATAAAAAAATCAAAAATCACATTATCTCAATCACAATTAAGGCGAGGACTAAATTAAGGTAGACATGGAAGAAAACCAAGAGTAATTAAAGGTAACAGATTAACTTTTGGAAATGAATAAAATAAGAATGCACAGAAGGTTACCTTGGAGAAGGTTGTGTTTTCTGTTGACCGGATTGGTATTGCAAAGTAGCCTCCAACATTGATTCTGCCATAACAACTCTCTTTTCCATTTCAGCAAGTGCAGCTGTGGCCTCTTCATACTTCTCCTGCAAGAATTAATATATAAAATTACATAATCTTGACCTGAAAATCGTGCACTCTGCAGTCACAGAATAGTTTGATTGAATTACATGCGCTAAGTATCAATTTCATGAAGAAAATGTACACGATAAGGTAAAGCGTTAATTTGAAAGAAATGAATTGGCTACAAGGTGCATCAAATAGGGGAAAGGAAAATGGTGAGCATCCCACATTTCTCATGTTCCATGCACCCCCAAATAAACATAAATCCAAGGGCTTAAATATAACAATGACAATTGCCATACAATATCTGTATTTTAGACCTTATCACACGTACATTCTAAGCAGAAAAATTCAACTTTTAGAAAATTCCAGGTGGGGTTCCAGGTGGTATTTTATGTAATTCCAATGCTATTCACACAGAGATGAAAACTTTAAAAGGAGAAGAAATGTCAGGCATACTATTTAGTGGACAAAAAGGTGAAGCTCTCAGGAAAAGGGCGCCAGTAGGAGTTAGACCCTAGGCTGGGATTAAGGTTTAGGGCTTGTTTCCTACATGACCTAAGTTCCCTTTCCACACTCTATTTCCAGATTTCTCTTCAGACAGCTAAAAAATTAATTCAGTTTTGAGCAATAAAGAGTGCAACTGAAGTTAGCAGCAAAGTAAACAATTATAAAACAGAAAGCATTCAAAAATTAAATATATATTTGGTGCCAATACCATATATGGCAATTCAAGACAAACCCCCATGGAAAAGAATGTTATGCAAAGGGACAAGAGAAAGTCAACTTGAGGAGTAAGAAACAATTTTATGCAAGCAATTTAGTAAGCTAATCTTATAAGGGTGGTTCTAACATAATGATTTCTTATCATTACATAACCAGAACATGCGTTCAGATATATGGTTATCTATGAAACCTGAAGCACTTGAGCAGCATATCTCTGTGCTGCTGCATCTTGCTCAGAAAATCTGCGAGCATCTTCTGTTAGTCTCTGCTCTTGCTCTACTCGCATTAAGACCTGTAAAGATAGTAAGTGATGCAATTACCATAACAAGCCCAAAACCAGTATGAAAAGAACAGAAATCCCAAGTATAAAAGAACAGGAAACAATACCTGGAGCATGACACTCTCCTGTTCCTGCTTATCAGAAAGGGCTCGGCGAAGCTCAGCAACCTCTTGCTCTAATTGCTCAACCTGACACAATATCAGATTATCAAGAATGTTAAAGTATCTTTACATTTTTTTTTTTTTTTTTTTTTTTTGTTTTTAAGTGAGGTATCTTTACAAGTATAAGGAAAAATAAACACAATAAAAAACGTGGAGAAGATTATATTTTATTAACAATCCCAGAGTAAAAAAATGAAACACTAAATAGTAAAATTCCACTTTCAAGACATGAAGGTCCACAGTAAAAGGGGCAGATTCCCAAGCAAGATAACCATATCTCTTTCACTTAGAAAGCTGCACTATATAAAAGTTTTCTGGATATACCCTGGCACTCAATTGCCGACGATTATCTTGCTTGACCATCTCCATCAATGCTGTCTCCAGCTCCTCGGCTCTGAAGAAAGTGAAAAAAGGACCCATAATATCAACGCCACATTAGAATAAATAATAACTGGCTCAAGAATATTTCGTGGTTGGACGTGAAGGCTGTGATATTTGGTTGTTATAGTGTTTTAAGACACCCCCAAATCCTGGTTGGCCTTGAAGGGTAAAGATCAATACCTTTTCATCCCAAACTACCAAAATGAGCTATTTTAATTGTACTTAATCAAGTCAACAAATGCCATACATAGTATAAATTATATACCCAACGTATTGAGGACACTAAGAGTTACACAGGCATCCAATATATGCAAAGAAGAGATCTTTGTTGAATGAACATTTATTGAATAACCAACACAAAAAACACCTAACACCAGAGAGAATATAAGAACCTGAGTTCAGCAGATCTTTTCTCCTCCAGCAGCTTGCATAATTCAACCTTCAACCATACCACCTGCAAGTAGAACCTAATTTAAATCTCAAAGTTGATTGTGAGGAAAATGCTTTAATAACGAGCCCCAGCAACTGCATATAACCCCGAACAAAATACAAATGTAACACAAAGGTTGTGCATGAATGTGTTTCCTTTTCTTTTTTTTTATATTAAATGCAGATTAGGTGACAACCCATAGACAGGCTTATTATATGATGGAAAGAAGAAAAAAAATATATACACAAAGGTCTAATCAATGGGCTGATAAAATGGTAGAATCAATATGCAAAATTCCACTATGCCAAACAAAGAAGACTGTAATGAGGGTGTGGAGGGTTCAATAAGCAACCTGTTCTTGAAGATCTGGTACAGAATCTAACTCCCCATCCCCATTCAGGCTAATAAGAACTTCATCTGCATTAGTGGACCCAGACTCTGAACGTGATAAATCACCATTTGTCTGTGCATCAACTACTCGTTCTCCTTTCTTCGTCTCAATTATCATTGATTTAGGATCTTGCTTGAAATTATACAGCTTAGATGCTAGACCTTGAGAATCCTTCCAAGCCCGAAGTCCCTTCGATCTTTCCTCGATAGCAACAAGTACAGCTGGCCGATGTTTATTTCTCAACTCTTGTAATCTAGTTTCATTTACATTTTGGTAACCCATGCAAGCTGTCAATACCAGTTGACTGCTATCAAATGTAGAGCCAGCCAGTGATTGCAGCAGAGTAACTGCATCTCCAGCATCCTTGGTAGTAACCAGTGCAGGGCCTACAAGTAACTGAGCCAAATTAAGTTTCATAAACCAGAGAACATACAGGCCATTATATGCCTTTTTTTCTTTAGAAAACG